CCCTGCAACAGGTGTGGGGCTCTCCGAGATGCAAGGGGTGTGTTGCAGTCTCCCTGGGGCTTAGTGAACGAAAGCTAGCTTGCCCCTGTACGAGGCAGTCGATGAACCCCTAATACCACTTCGGCATGTTCTAAGCTCTCTGGTGTGGTGCCCTGGTGCTGCGCAGGACCGCTCAGGGATGAGCTCAAGAGAACTGCAAGCTGAGGAGTGACGTCTGCGCCTGAGGGACTCGCAAGTCCAAGCCTGGAAGGCACTCTGCTGATGTGACCTCGACCTTCCTCAGATGGGGACTGTGAGAGTAGTCACCTCTGCAGCCTGCCCTGTTCATGCCTCTGGCATTGAACTTTATTCTCATCGATGCTGTTGTAGCTTTACAGTGATCAAGATGGACAGGTGTACAGTGGGCGTTGCATAAAAGGGTGGAAGTGATGAGGAAATCAAAATTGGACACTAGGTCAGGGAAGGTGGAGGTCGTGGGCAAAAGGGGGTGCTCCAGATGCATGGTGGGTTTGAGAGGAGTAAAGTATAATCTGACAGCCGATGGGGCAACAATTGCGTGCGAGACAGTGAAGTCAGAGGACTCCATCGCGCATGAAGCAAGAGGGCCTTCCGAGGCCCTGGAACACTCGAACAGCATCCTGCAGGATGCTTATATTTCTTTGACTAGGCAGCATTGGTTATTTGCCGTGCCAGGGCCCACTCTAGCCCAGACTCCCCAGACTCCAGATCGAGGTCAGCAGCGTCCTCGGAGTCCCTCTCCTCCGCAGCAGTGAGGCAGTCAACCGACTGCAGCTTGCGGAGACTGTTGAGGCCTGCACATGTGTTGGTTGCCAGAGGGAATGACAAGGAGTGAAAGGAAAGGATGTACAAGGCACACACCATGGCAGGCGATTGCAGCCATATTTCAAGGGCATCTTGAAACTGCTGTCGTGTGAACCTCTCACTGGCCCCGCTCTCCCAGCTCTACTGTAAAGTTGCCAGATCCCACCATCAGCTCACCGCTCTGGTCTGAGGTCGCCACCACCGACGTCTGCGCGGCATTGAAGGCGTCTGCAGCCGCCTGGGCGGCAGCGACGTTGCGCATGGTGTCATCCAAGTCGCTCTGCTCGATCACCTCCCCCTCATCATCGTACATGGGAATGTCCTCGTCCTGTATTATGGGGTGCATTTATGGCCCGTAGGGCAGACAGCACGCAAGGAAAGGACAAAGACGCGACGGCAGCGAGTCACCACAACCTGCACCAGTGTCAACAGTGCTAAGATTCTGGTCCTCGCTCTCCATCCACCATGCAGCATGTTTGTCCAGAGCGGTTGCGGATGCGGAGTCATGCGCCGGGTTTTCAACTGTCCGTGTACAGGGTTCGGGATAAGAAATGCTGGCCCCGAACAGATGAGGCATGCAGACTCAGGATGGCAGGTGGGTCACTGTGACCCTGCCGCATGGTCTCCAGGGCCAGGACCCTGCCCCATCTTCCCCGCCGCAGCCCCGCTGGGGTGGCCAGTCACGGGGCAAGGCAGGCCATACTGAGCAAAGGTGGTGTAGATCTGCATCTTCACCCGGTCCAAACCGGCCTCCAGCGAGTCCAGCGCCGGGCGCACCCGCAGCTCGAATGCCTCGGGGCTGCCTGTGCATTGCGGATGTTTTGAATGGCCCACTGAGCACCCAGCACCTGGTCATGGCATCCGGGGCTCGCGGGCCGAACCTACACCAGATTATGAGCCCATGTTCCAATGGCATGGGGCGCGAGGCCATTATTCCCGGATCCACAGCCCCGTGCCTACCAGCCAGCTCATCCTTGAAGTAGAAGTCGATGACATACCGAACCTCCTGCCCGCACCGATCGATGTACCAGTCATGGCGGTCAAAGGGTAACGGCCCCCCAAACCAGGACCGGAGGCGAGCCAGGGGACTGCGAGGGGGTGGTGGGGATGAGGAGTCAGGGAAGTGGCGCCATACGCGCTGGCAGCAAGTGCATTCACAGACACGAGTCAGGTGGAAGAGCCTTGGAGTTTCCATGCGTCCGAACCCTCAGGGCATGCACAACCCTTTCCGAGCAGTACACATACCCACCAGCTCCCTCAAAACTAAGATACTATCCATACTCTGCGGCGCACACTGGCCCGAGTTCTCCCTGGCTCACCCATTCCTCCCCTATTCCCGTTCTCACCTGAGGTCATCTGGCCGTCCCCTGAACCTGAGCAGGGAGGGCGAACAGCAGTGATCCCGGTGCAGCGATTCCCAGGCCATCACATGGCTCCATGTGATCTCGTTCATGCTGTTGTGGGCGTGGATGACAGAGTCCATGTCGTCCTCTTCGATGTCGTCGCCCTTTCCCTTGCGACGCAGGGCTGCCAACGAGGGCATGGGTGGATGAGGAGCATGGGGAGAGGGATACTACTGGTAGGCGTGCAAGGAGTGTATAAGGCTGGCCTTCTGCCGTGCTGCAACAGCTGTGAGGCCTTGTATCGGGGCGAAACAGGTGCCCCGGACGACGCAAGCCACACGTACCGTTGAAGAACATCTGTGGGGAGGGGTACACCCAGGTAGACTCCGTGTTACCCTTGGGGATATTGGACACCACCCTCTGTGTGGACAGCAGCTTCTTCTGGCCGGGGGATGGCTGCTGGTTGGGCTCGGCAGGCATGTTGTTGCTGGGGTCCAGGATTTCGGTCTTGGCTGGGGCAAGCTCGTCGATGCGCTGATTGTACACATTGTACACCGCTTTGACACGAAGGGACTCCGGCACCGGACAAGACGAGTCTCCTTCGCTAGTGCTCAGCTCTGATGCGCCGTTGCTGCCAATTGCATGATTCTCTTTGCTCTGGCCTGCGCCCATGCCTGTCCCGACGGTCAGAGGCTAGCGAGAGGATAGGCGTCTTAAAATAGTCTTCCTATAGGAATCAGACTGTATCCTGTAAGCAACGGATTAATTGTCATCTTCCAATGGTCGACGGTCCCCTGTATTACTCACATGCAACTCTGCGGAGAGGACATCCGCGCCCGCCTGAGATCTGGAATTGAAAACTGGACGGGAGCTGCAACGGGAGCAATAGCATTGGGCCCCCACGCCTGCCTCGCCAATCATATAAGCAAGCGACAGGAAGTAAGTGTGAGGCTACCTGGATCAATCTTCGTCTGCTGTTGAAATTCGGGATGGTGGGCCGGGATGAGGACGAGTACCCCGACGAGGTGGAGGAGCGATTGGTGAATGAGGAATACAAAGTCTGGAAGAAGAACACACCGTTCCTATACGGTAAGGAGCCGAGGACGAGCGGAACGAACACCATGGAACGCCCTTCCCGGCAGACGCCCTCAGAGCAGCTGTCGTCAAGTGCCTGCAATCCCCCCCCGCCGCAGATTTGGTGATCACGCATGCGTTGGAGTGGCCGAGTCTCACTGTGCAATGGCTGCCGGTGAGTGGTGTTGACCTGGGCTGTCACGCAGGACGCTGGTCCAGGGGCTTGGAGAGTTGGGAGCCTTGTGTGTGTCGTTCTGGGACGCTCAAGCCTCCAGGCCCGCTGTCCATGCAGATGAAGGAGGAGAACACGGAACAGGGTGTTTCCAAGCAGCAGCTGATCCTGGGAACACACACATCAGAGGGGGAGCAAAACTACCTGATGCGTGCAGAGGTGTCCCTGCCTCTGGAGGAGACGGAGACCGACAACAGGTGGGATGAGTGAGCCTGGGTGGCTGGGGATGGAGCTTGATGATCTCTTGATGGCTAAAAATCACAGGTTTTCACTCACATCCACACAAACTCCCCATCCTCCAGAGGGTACGACGATGAGCGCGGCGAAGTAGGTGGCTTTGGGGGCACCACCGGCCGCATCAACATCGTTCAGCAGATCAACCATGATGGCGAGGTCAACCGCGCCCGGCACTGTCCCCAGGCGCGTCTTGTGTGTGTGTGTGTGCTGGGGCTGGAACGGCTGACGACGACGCTTCTGTGTGCTGGGGTTTGGGAGCACTGGAGAACCCAGCTGAGGGCTGGCGTGCATCCTGAGCCCAGGCGACCACTGACCCTCTTCTCCTCGGCCCCACCCTCGCAGAACCACTTCCTCATTGCCACCAAGACCGTCAGCGCGGATGTGTACGTCTTCGACTACTCCAAGCATCCCTCCAAGCCCGCGCCCGACGGGCTCTGCAAGCCCGACATCCGGCTGGCGGGGCACAAGAACGAGGGGTATGGCCTGTCCTGGAGCCAGCTCCAGGAGGGCTACCTCCTCTCCGGCTCAGACGACGCCCAAATCTGTGTTTGGGACGTCAAGGGCACCACCCAATCCAACCGGGTAAGCGGAGGCGGTCGGCCGGGGCCCAGGAAGACCGTGTCGGTGGTGCAGGTTTCTCGCGGGGGTTGCCATGACGCTGATTGAGCGGTGAAGGGCACCTGAAGCGTGCAATGGGGGGAGCTTGGTTGGGCGCCACTGGCTGAAGAGGGTGTCCATCTTGAGGCGCTCTGTGCATCCTAACGACATCCCTCCATCCAGTCCTTACCTTCACCGACCCCTTCCTCGCAGCAACTGCAAGCGCTGCACATCTACCAGGGGCATGGGGGTGTGGTGGAGGACGTTGCGTGGCACCCCCGTCATGCCCCCATTTTCGGATCGGTGGGCGACGACAAGAAGCTCATTATCTGGGACATGCGCAAGCCCAGCGAAGGGGGTGCGTCAGAGGGCGGGGTCGGGTGGGGACCGGGACGAGGACGTGGGTGATAGGCTGCCGATGAGCTTTCAATAAGTGCCACCGCCATCCTGCACATGCCTGTCGCCCGCTGTCCTGTCGTGTCTTCAAGACATGCCTCTGGTGCTGCTGGCCCACCACCCATGCCTGACCCCCTCACCCAACACACACGCGCGCAACAGCCATCGATCAGTCGCTGGAGGCGCACGGCGCCGAGGTCAACTGCTTGGCCTTCAACCCGCACAACGAATTCATCCTTGCCACCGGGTCGGCGGACCGCACCGTAGCGCTGTGGGACCTGCGCAACACCTCGCGCAAGCTGCACCTGCTGGAGTCCCACAGCGAGGAGGTGTTCCAGGTGGGCTGGAGCCCCCACCACGAGACCGTGCTGGCCAGCTCCGGCGCCGACCGCCGGCTCATGGTCTGGGACCTGGCACGCATCGGCGACGAGCAGGTGGGCGCCCTGGGAGGGATGCAGTACGTGGGTGGGGGAAGGGGGTGGGTTTCAGGGTGTTGAGCCTGGATTTGGAGGTGCATGGCGTGCTGAGCCCCCTGCGTGCCGCATGGGTTGCTGTGCCAGTGCGCTGCCTGCAAGCGGCCGGGCCAAGGATGTTGCGAGGGAGCTGCCACGAAACTCCGATCCACCATATGCCCAACACGCAGTCGCCTGAGGACGCCGAGGACGGCCCGCCGGAGCTGCTCTTCATCCATGGCGGCCACACTGCCAAGATCTCTGACTTTGCCTTCAATGCCACGGACGAGTGGGTGATGGCCTCGGTGGCGGAGGACAACATCCTCCAGATCTGGCAGCTGGCGGACAACATCTGGGCGGACTGAGGGATTCGACCAGGCGAGGCAGGTATTCGGCTGCGAGCAGACCCTCGGGTGGGCTGTGACAACATCCTGGGGACACAGCAGCACATCGTTTATTCCTCCTGCCTCCCCATTTGGTCGACCATGACCGTCCCCTGGCCACTTGCGCCACTTGCTTCTGACAGCGATTTGTACAGGGGAGGGGCATTCTTCTCAGCAGCAAAGCGCTTCATCAGCATGGGGAAGGGAGTGGACGCAGGCTGCACGCGGTCAACCAGCAGGCACTCAGATGCCAAAGTCGAAGGGCACCGCCACGCTGTTTGTCGCAAAGTTGTTGGCTGCGCGCAGGGAAAGGGGGGTATGTGGATGAGTCGAGTGTCCACATCCCGAGGCAGGACAATTTCAAGCCTTCATCAAGGGACTTCAAGGAGGGCGCTGATGAAGAGGAAAAATCCCACATAAACAGCCAGCCAGGATCGACACCACATTCGAGCTGTGCAAACAGGACCCTCCCGGTCCAAGCATCAACTCACCCCAGGGGTCGCCGAGGTGTGTGCCCAGGGCTTGGAGTGGGCTGAGCCCATTGGCTGCGTGCTGGGAGATGATCCCCAGGAAGGCCAGCATGGCCAGCCGCCCGTTCTTAATCTCCTACGGCAGCAGAGGGGGCCAAGGGGGGGCTGAGCCTTCCTCACCAGCAAGCACAGCCTGGATGCCCAGGACACACTGCGAACTGTCGTCCAGTGCGCACCTTGGTCTTGAGCTCCTCCAGGTTGCCCTTGGACAGCCCCAGGGGGTCGAACTGACCACCAGGCCAGATGCGACGCTCGCCCTCGGCGCCGTTCCTGAGGATCTCCACGGAGCCGATGGCGATGAACTCCTGCGCGATGCACCAAATGCCTTGGGATGTGGACCGAGCCTTGTACCTCATGTGTGGAAGGCATGGCCTCACACCAAGGCCTAATTTTGTCCAAAACCAATCGAGCATTGCTGGCAGGACAACTCTCAAACTTTCCCGCTTCACTCACGATGGCGGAGAGTTCGCCCAGGTTCAGAGGGATGGGGACCCCAAGGTAGGTGGCGGGCTCGCCGTTGATGACGGGGAGGGGTGCTGAGTACCAGTCACCCTGGCCCAGGAGCTCTGCCCCAAGGATGCCTGTGGTGCGGGGGCGCCGACAGGGTTGGTGAGATGAAAATGATGAGCGGCAACATTGCACCAGGTAAGAGTCTGTGCCCTCTTTCCCCGAAGCACACATCTCACCTGCCACTCCCAACATTGCCCATCGCCCGTTGATGAGCTCTCCCTCCTGGAAGCGCGTCAGGTTCTCAGGAACAGAGCCGAGACGAAGGGGGTCATTTTTGGGGGGGGGGGGAGAGATGCATGGGGTGGTGAGGAAAGAGCATCAGCGAGACTGAAGCAAAGTGCAAGTCAAGCCATTTTCCAGCAAACAGCATGCTGCTCTGCATTCTCCTGAGAATCGTCATGAGCGCACAAGCTCAGCTCACCGAATCCGTAGGACCTGCGGTGCAGAAGTGTGGAAACGGGTCATGACGAAGCATACCAACTCACAAGAAGGACAACCCCATCCATGTCGATCTGTCTGCTCGGTGGGCCGGGCCCTTCCCAATATCAAGGACTCACGCTGGGAGCTTGTTGAGGTAGTCCGGAGTGTCTGCTCCGGGGAACCAGTTGCCCGCGCTGCCGGCCATGACCACCCTCGACCCGTTGCTCGGCCCCATACGAGGGCGCCGGGCGACCGCCCGCCCGCCATGCACGAAGCTCGCTCCTGAGAGGCAGGTCGATGCCATGGTGCCGTTCAGTAGATCAACTCAGGGTGTCGAGGTGATGAGATCGAGCATCCAGCCCCGCATCACCCCGCTGTAAGTCCACTAGCCGGGGAGGCAATCTTCAGGATATCGTAAATTGATGTTGGAAAGCAGGAAGGCACAAGATGATGCACCGATTGAGGCGACGATTACCGCCCGCCTGAGCCCATTGAGGGAGGAATCGAGACTTGTTATCGCCCCAAATAGCTCCATGATGGCGTGCATGACTGTGCAGCCCCTGGCAACTGCCCGGCCCTGTTTCGCGAGGGCACTGGGGGCAGGCCCCCTGGTGGGCCCACGCCCCTCCGGCACAGCTCAGGTGAGCAAGCGGTGGTGCAGGGGCGCAGCGGGTCCCTTGGTCCTCTTGAATAGACGCACAACGGCTCATCCCGCCCGGCACAGGGCTGGAGGATCGCGGCTGAGAAGACCGAGTCTGCGCCCAAGAAGAAGGTGGTGGATCGGCCCATCTGGTTCCCGGGCAACGACCCGGAGATTCCCGACTACCTCGATGGCACCCTGGCCGGAGGTGACTGGGGTGTTGTGGATTCTCTCTCTAGACTCCCGAGCCCGGTTTGCCCCCCCCCCCCCCCACTGTTTGTCCTCTGTGTCTAGGTGTTGCCATGAATTGTAGAGGCATCCATGCATGGAGCACCAGCCCCACCACATTATCTCTGCCCTGTTCCTTGGAATCAACCGGCCCCCTCTCTCACCTCCCCCCCGTTCTGCAGACTACGGCTTCGACCCCCTAGGCCTTGGCTCCGAGCCGGAGCAGCTGCGCTGGAATGTCCAGTCTGAGGTCTTTCACGCCCGCACCGCCATGACGGCAGTGGCCGGCATCCTGGCCGTGTCAATCCTGCACGGCGCCAACCCCGCGGTGCCGCAGTGGTACGACGCGGGCAAGGTCTACCTGGAGCAGAACCCCAACGTGTCCCTGGGAGCGCTGATCTGGACCACCATCGCACTGAGTGGGTTTGTGGAGTTCAAGCGCCTGGCGGACTGGAGGAAGCCTGGGAGCCAGGCCGACCAGTGGTTCCTGGGGATCCAGAAGGAGTTCAAGGTGAGCCAGGGTGTGGGGTGAGAGGCTGGAGAGTGGGGCATGCCTCTCTGCGCGGCGGGTGGGTGATGGTGGGAATCTAGAGGGCGTGCGGCACTGAGGCCGAAGCATGCATGTGGTGCTTAACAGCAGTGCAGCAACCCATCGATCCGGCAAAGCCCTCAAACCACCGTGTCGTCCATGGACCTGCAGGGAAAGGAGAATGGCTACCCGGGCGGTGCCTTCTTCGACCCCTTGGGGTACTCTCGCGGCAGCGAGGCCAAGTACCAGGAGTACAAGTGGAAGGAGATCAAGAATGGCCGGCTTGCCCTGGTGAGGCATGGGAGCCTGTCCGGCTGGTACAGCAGTTGAATGACCATGGCGTTGGACCCACTCCTTTCCGGTAGGAGCAATCATCGCAACTGTAGAACTCCAATGCACAAACCACAACCCTGCGCACAGGTGGCGCTGGTGGGCTTTGCGCTCCAGTACCTGGCAACCGGAAAGGGACCCCTCGACAACCTGGCCGACCACCTGGCCGACCCGTGGCACAACAACTTCATCCACAACGGAGTGTCTGTTCCTTTCATCAAGACGCTCTGAATATGTGGTGTATGCTGCACGAGAAGAAGTCATGTTTGTTGCAAGGTTCCCGACTGTTCCCCTGGGGCAGGCTGTCCCATCGCAATCTGTAGAAATACCCCTTCTCTGGGAGATTATCATACAGACGGAGTCCGACTTGGGAAGAATCTGTAGGCTTGGTGAAATTTTACCGTGTGGGGCGGAGGAGGATGGTCGTCTGGCTCGCCATGATGAAATGCGCGAGGTTGGTGGCCCTCCCCGCGGATCTGTTTGTTACCCGGGGCTCGACAGACGCAGCACGCCCGACAGGTCCGAGAGGTTTGAACTCGGCGCCCAGGAACTGTGCAGAATTGCTAAAGTACGTACCCCAGACACATCTGAAGAAAAGATGGGACACTCCACAAGTGTCGAGGGGAGACTGTTGTGATGGGTGACGGCCTCAAGGCGACCCCGGTGCTGCGCCCTATAAATAGCAACCTCGCAGCAGTATCCGGCTGGGGCAAGGTGAGCTTCGTGGATTGTTAGAGATATCGCTTGTTCGCCTAGCATGTCGATTCGACATGGCTAGTTGGGCTCGGCATGAGTTCCAGGCTTTACTGAGCGCGCCCTTGCAGGGAACAGTTGACGGCAGTCGAGCTCCCCGGGCGGTGGCGCACAGACCCCACTCCCGACGAGATGGCATCCCCCTGCGTCCCGGAACTGGGCGTCAGCCTTCCAAAGTCCGCCTCTCCGTTCGGCTCAGGTGAGCATCGGCCCATCGGATGTGGATATTTGTCGTGGCACTTGTGGAATGCTCAGGTTCCACACCTCACCCACATGCAGGGTGGATGCCTGGCAAGCCGGCGACGTCCAGCTGGACTCCGATGAGCTCAAGGACACCATCCTCTTCCAGGCCACGCGCCAGCGCGCAGCTGCCCTGCAGATCAGCTTGAGACAGGGGAGTGGGCGCCACCACGTCCGCCGACCGACGCAGGTGGCGCTCCCTCCCCTGCCTCCTCCACCCCCGGAGGTGACTGAGGAGGAGACCGTGCTCCAGGAGGAGGAGGGGGCAGCGGCCGCATCGGTAGCAGGCATGGCGGCGGAGGGCCAGGCGAGGCCGGCTGCCACCCCCCCGGTGCAGCTGGCGCCCCACCCCAGCCCAGCGTGCACGATGCCGGCGTCCTCCCAGGGCCGGCCCTCCCGCTCGCAGACGAGGGTGGAGGGCGTGCCCGAGTGGTTCACGGCCGCCAGGGGGGAGGGGCCTCGCCGCAGCGCCCCGCTCCGTCAGCCCCGGGCCACGCCGCGCCCCGCCTTCACGCCCGTGGAAGGGGTGCCGGAGCGTGACAGCGTGGCGGGCCCAGGCGCCGGCTGGCCCCGGGGCTGGCTCCACATGGCCGGCGGCGGTGCGGATGCCGGCGACGGCGACCCCGCCACCGCATCGACCGGCCGGGCTCGGTCTGCAGAGGGCCGCCGCGGGTCCCTGGACAGGACCCTGGACCTGCGCACCCCCGAGCCCGGCGATCCCACGCCGCCTCAGCCCCAGCCCGGGCCGGTACCGCAGTCGGACGACGACGACGACGACAACTGCGACTTTGGCGGCCAGGAGTATGGTGCGGAGACGGTCGACGGCCGAAATTTCGAGGCGGGCGGGGTTGTCTGTGGGATTGCGTCCTCCCTGCATCCTGTTCTGTGGTGTGGTGGTGGCCCCAGCCTTTCAACCAGTACACTTCACCAGGATGCTCTGAAACTCAATCCCACCTTCATCTGCCAGGTGACGGGTGGGACGACCATGATGACGGCGGCGGCGACCCGGTGCAGGACCCCACGCCATTCGCAGAGGTGGCACACACGGGCACAGACGCCGGCGTGGCAGGCCCCACGCCGAGGCCCGCGCTCAACCCGGCACCCGCGCCGAAGCCGCGGCGACAGGCGCAGCGCCACTCGCCGGGGCACAGGTTGCGCAATGAGCTCGGCAAGCGGAAGAGCCTGTCCAGCGGTGCGGGGGTGATGTGCTGGGTGTGGCGAGGCTGGAATGTGGGGCGCCTGTGTCGGGTGCGGGAGGCCTTGTCCATTCAGGGTGAACCACATTGTCTGGGTATGACTGTGCGCTCATGCTCTGCAGCATGCACCTGAGCAGGCCGCTGTCTGGGGAGGACGCAGTGCCCCAAACCTTGAGCTCCCAGCCCCACTACCCCGCAACCCCCCTCCCGCCCCATGCCAGCCCCCGGCATCGGTCGCTATGAGATCGCGCCCGGCATCCGGCGCTCCAGCCGCGCCCCGGAGCGGCCGCTCATGTGGTGGCTGGGGGAGAACAAGGAGTACTCCCGCAGCGCACACAAGTGAGAAGAGTGGTGGGGTCGTTTGGGGCAAGGCGCAGCGTATGATGGCCATTGAAAGCGTCGAGCTCCTGCCACGGGCGTGTGCGCATGTCGCCGCAGTCTGACTGCTTCCTGATCTGTCGCAATCCTCGCCAAGGTCCCCCCAGCCTTCACACACCTTCTTCCAACCCCTTGCCCCACAGGACCATGCCCACCATCCGCGCCATCATCCACCACGACCCCAACACGCCCTGGCAGACAGTGACAGACCCCTTCCCGGGGGCAAGGAAGCGACGCGACGCGCTCGCCGCGGCGAAGCTGGAGGCGCGGCTGGACGCCGCGGGCGACGCCGTCCCGCCGGCTGCAGAAGGCGAGGCCGAGGCCGCTGCCAGTCCCCGTGCATCAGGAGGTGGTGCCAAGCACGCAGCACCGGCGCGCGGGGGGAAGGGCGGGCGGGGACAGGGTCGGCGCACGGCAACTTCCTCCAGACGATGACTCGGCGGGACGCCCGCCTCCATGACCTTGACCCCCTGCTTGCCCATGTAGTTGCCTGACGCCCGGCCCCCGGCAACGCACAGCCGCCGAGCCCGCTGCCTTGACCCTGCCGCCTCATTTACAATGTCACACTGGGCCAGTGCAAGCAGGGAGCATCGGAGAGGAGGGGTGTCATTGGGAGTATGCCCCCCCCTTCCCCATCTGCCCATCATCATCGCCGTGTGGTCGTCGAGCGTGGCTTGCTCTTGGCCTCCGCCTCGGTGACGGGGTGTAGCAGTATATGATTCTTGGCCGTGGCCGGGTTGTGCTCCTGCGCGCCCCGCATCCAGTCGTAGCTGACGGCGTAGGCGAAGATGCTGCCGTCCTTGCTGTAGGCGGTGCAGGGGATGGGGGCGTTGGCGGCGCTGAAGGCCTTGAGTCGCTGCTTGCTGTCCTTGTCCCAGAAGCTGAAGGAGCCGTCGCCGCCGGCGCTTGCAAAGGTGCCGTACTGGGGGTGGAAGTTGAGCGAGTTCACGGGGAAGACGTCCTTCTCGGGCCTGAGGGTGAGAGGCAAGGGGAGGGGAGTTGAGTGGGAAGCCTGGGCGGTGGGGCAAACCGGGGAGGCTGGGTGGCGGCTTGGGGACCCCTGAGCACACGAGAGGTGGCAAGCAATCCCCTGCTGGGGTGCAGTGGCCTCTGGTGGCGCCCAGGTCCATGCAAGGAGCGACGAAGATGGAGAGACAAGACCTTGTGGCGCGCACAGGGGCGCCATCCCCCATCTTGAATCCATCTCCCCGATTCCCTGCCGGTGCTCTCCTCCCTATTCCCCCACCCCCCTAAACTCTGGAAAAAGTGAATAATAAAACTCCCATTCACCTGTGGCACTTGAAGGTGAAGTTTTTATCCTTCTGGCTCTCCTCCACATGGTGCACGGCCACCCTGCCCTCCACCGACCCTACCAGGTACCCCGTGGCGTCCGGGAAGCAGGCGAGGCAGCGCGTCTGGAACTTGAGCGGTGAGTGGATCTGCTTGTACACCTGCTGCGGCGCCTGCAGGTTGTACACCTGGATGACGCGGTCGGCGGTGCCCACCACCAGCAGCTGCCCCGTTGTGCTCAGCGCGTAGCACTTGTCCGGAAGCTGCTGCGTGTGCACCGGGTTGGGCGTGCGCAGGTCCCAGTACTTGAGCGTGCGGTCCCAGGAACCCGTCACCAGCATGCTCAGGTGCGGGACGTAGGCGCAGTGCCGCACCGGCTCGGCGTGCGCCGCCACCTGCTGCTGCTGGTTGGTCGCCAGGTTCCACATCTTGACGCCGTTGTCACACCCACCTGCGCACGCGGTTGTCGCGTGAGTGTTTTGGGGTGGGGGGCACGGCGCATGGGGAGTGCTGGGGACGGGAGGTGTCCATGCCCAGCCTGGGAAGGCTCCTCCATGCTCCTGCGAGGACAAGCGGGCCCACACAGCGCATGAAACAGACCAGGAACAGTCAAACACAGCATCATTACCGCACCGGCGAAGACAGCGGAGCCATCCGCGTTCCAAGCGCTGCACAGGACGGGCTTGTCGGACTGAATGGCGGCCTTGGGGACGGCCTGCCCGGAACTCTGGACCTCCCAGCACAGCGTCTGCCCGCTCCAGGATGTCGCCACGAGGTGGTTTGATACGGGGCTGAAGTTCAAGCTGCTGACGCCATCGCTGGCTGTGGGGGAATTTAGAGACGGGGTGGGAAGAGATCGCGGGCAGGGGAGTACTGGTGACTTCAGGCAGCCAATCGGGGTCATCAGTCCTGCATTGGGTCCGAGCAGCTCTCACGTGGAGATGTGACCTCTGCGTCCTTATTGGGGTTGTAGTTCCCTGCAGCGCCGAAGCTCAGCGCCCCGTAGGAGGCCATGGCTGTCTAGCCCCAGCACCCGGGTGCCCCTCGCCCCGCCAATCACAGCGCCAGCACGATGAGGGTAATCAGATGGTTTGTACCTTGACTTGCGAGATGTTAAGATGTTGTACAGGTCTGCCCATCACCGAAGAGTTGTCGATTTCTCAGACAAATTTTGTTTTGGGGCGCTCGAATGGGACGACGAGATCACACCCCTCCATACAAGATCAGTGGCACGAGCAAGCAACATGTAGCAATTTGAATGCCAATCCAAGAGACCCACAGTCGACACAAGCACCAAAATCACTCTTCATGGGGGTGATACCCAAAGCTGAAGCTCTCTGGCACCGAATCCTCCTTCAAGGGGGAGGTGTCCGATGCGGAGTCCCCATTCTCTGCAGAGGCTGTGCCGGCTGGGGCAAGGGCTCTGGCAGGCACCCTGTCCTCGCAGCCGTCTACTGGTGACAGCTCCAGCCCCTTGTGCGCGTCTTGACGCGGCGTGGGCGGGGTGGGCTGCAGGACTGGGGCTGGCGGGGAGTGCGGTGCCGAGCCCCGCTCCCCTCCCTTCGTCCCGAATGGCGATGCAAAGAGGGCGGGCACGGCGGCGCGGGGGGTGGTCAACCCCAGCCCGCCCCGCTCGCCGTCGGCGCTGACCATGCCCATGAACTCCCCGTGCAGCCTGTAGAAGGCCGACAGCAGGGAGAGCAGGATGGGGCCAAAGAGGCAGCCCTGAATATTTGGGCGTGGAGATGGGTGGATTGGCGCCAGGAGGAACATGGTTTGGGTGAGACCCGGACCTTGAACCCATGGTCCTCGGCGCAGCCAGGCGTGGCACTGCTGCATCGCCTGCTTCGGCCTGGATGAGTAGCTGTGTGTTATCACAGTGTGGCACTGGATGTGCCAGGCCCGCAATCAAGCCGCTAGACAGCACCACACTGCCCACCTGGAAGGGGTTGTCAAAGGTCCAGATTCCCCCCAGGATGCCCAGGGACAGGAGGTAGGGGTGCCCCCCTGGGATGTCCTCCAGGATGAGCGTGTCGCCCAGGTAGTAGGCGCCCCAATGCACCAGCAGCAGCACGATCGCCCCGGGGATGTGCCCCTGGGCCGCCAGCAGCCCGCTGCCAGGCAGCGCCACGGCGTAGGTGGGGATGAAGGGCAGCAGCGCGCACACGGCGGAGAGGACGGCGGCCTGCGGGGCGGGAGGGCCGGGGTTCTGTGCGATGGCGGCGCAGGTGTGTGCCCTGGGCTTGGAAGAGGACTGCTGCAAAGCCACACCCATGGCCAGGAAGGCATTGCAGACACCTGGCCCATCTACTCACGGTGTAAGCGAGGGGCACCCCAAACACCCGGAAGGTGAGCCAGGTGAAGACCCCATGGAAAGCCATCAGCTTTGCGGACGCCAGCAGCACGCCTGCGGGTCGGGTGGGAGGCCGAGGATGGGTGGGTATGCGCAGCCCTGAATGGCCTGGCATGCGTACCATTGGGGCTTGGGAGTGCAGGACTGATGGGAGTCAAAGCTAGAGAACAAGCGCCCGCCTGGTTGTTTGCATGCATTCCCCTCCCTTCCCCTCTCAACCTCGCCACTTTCACGCCACCCACCCACTCCCGCGCCGCTCCCATGGGTACCCTGCCTGTCGCTCCTTCTTCCACCCCCATCCTCCCCCACCCCCACCCCCCACCCGAGAGCGCCTGGTTGAGCTCCAGCGCGGCGCGCTCCCTCCCCGCCTCCGAGAGCGGCAGCACCCCCAGCGCTTTGGCCAGGGGGTCCTGTGGCGCGGCCAGCAGGTAGTACAGCAGGGCCAGGAAGAGCGTGGCCTGCAGCGCAGCCTTGACCACGCCCAGGCCCAGGCGCAGCACGCCCAGGCCGCCCATGACTGCCGTGGCGGCCGTGGACCCCACCGACCCCGCCGCCAGGCGGGCCAGCGCGCCCAGCGGGGCCAGCGCGGCGGAGGCCAGGCGCGGCAGCGCGGCCGAGTCGGCGGTGGCGGCCGCACGCGCCAGGCCCGCGCCGGCCTCGGCGGCGGCGGCGCGCAGCTCGCGCAGGCCCTCCGCCGGACGCCCACGCCAGAGGTGGGCGTAGGCCGCCTGCAGCCGCGGGCCCACGCCCGAGAATGCGGCGCCGGCGGGGGCGGGGCCGGGGCCGGCCGGGCCGGGGCCGAAGGCGCCGATAGGGGCCAGGCACAGCTCCAGGCGCGCCGACGCCTGCTGCGCCACGTGGCGCGCAGCGGCGGCGGCCTCGGTCGCTGCGGCGTGCGTCGCGCGCGCCTCCGCGGCGGCGGACGCCAGGGCCGTCACCAGGCGCTGCTTGGCCAGGTAGGCGGGGGGAGAGGGGGGCGGCGGGGTCCCGGCGACCGCCTCCTGCGCCGCTCGCGGCCGCCGGGCGGCCATGTTGGCCGCCTCGGCGAAGAGCCTGGCCTCGCTGGCGCGCAGCTGCAGCGGTGTGGGTGGGAGAGATGGGTGGGTGTGTACACGTGCATAACATGTGTGTTTGGTAGGGTCTGCGATAGCCTTGGGTGGCGGCAACGGCAAAGCACACAGGGTCGACAGGGCGGGTAGTCTTCAGTTGGCATTTTCCGGTCTCCAAGCGGCAGGACCTGAATGCAACATGCTGGCGTGCTTGGTGCAAGATTCCGCTCCCAGTGTCTCCTCACGCCCACGATGATGCCCCTGCTGTCATAACCCCCCCATCCCATACCCCTCTCCAAAGTACCCACCTTCTCCGCGGCGGCCTGCTCGGCGGCGGTGGCGTCGGCCGCGGCCACCTCGGCCCCCGCCAGGGTCACCAGGAGGCCCGTGTGTTCCCGCCGACCGCACTGGCGCGGGCCCTGCACCATTTCGTAGGCCAGCTTGGCGTCCGTCAGGCTGGCGGTCAGGTTCTGGGCTGCGAGGAAGCGCGACGCCGCGCCCTCCAGCCAGGTCTCCAGGCTGGGCAGCGCCCGCTGCGCCAGCGCCAGGGCCTGCTGCCCCTGGTTCTGCACCCAGGCGGGGAGCCGACTCTGGGCGGTGCATGGAGCGGGGCCCTCCCGCAATGCGCTCGATGTCCCCTTGTCCTCTATCACGCCACGCGGCAGGGCGCTGCTTACGTTCAGGCTGACCTCGGGAGTCCCCGGCGACCCACACGCCGCCTCCTGCCCCGCGCCGGCACCCAACGCGCTGACGCCTGGGGCGGCGCAACTTTCGCCAGCGCTGACATTGCAGGCCGCTGCGCTCTCTGCCGCGAGAGTGGTGCCACCGCCGCTACGCCGCGATATCGCAGCGGCGCCTCCGGCCGCCCAAGCCCCCGCCACGGAGCCCTCCGCCCCCCCGCTGCCCTCGCCGCCATCCTCGGAAAAGAGGCGCGCGCCGCGCAGGCCCACCTCGGACCAGGCGCTGGGGAAGGCGTCGCGCGCGGAGGCCACGACGCTGCGCCCCTCCTGCGCCACGCGCACCGCCAGCAGGCCCGACAGGCCAGAGCTGCCCAGCAGCAGCGCCGCGACCAGTCCCGCAGCCACGATGGGGTGCAGGTTGCGGCGCAGCGACAGGCGCGCCGAGGCCTCCGTCCGCGCGTACACCTGGCCCAGCGCGCGCAGCGCGGCCTGCACCGCGCCGGCCGCGCGCGCGACCGGCGAGGGGTCCGGTGGCGCCGCGGGGCCAGGCGTCCTCCCCATGGCAGATTCGCCGTCCGGGTCCCCCACTGGCGTCGGGCGCCGGGCGCGCAGCGACGCGGCGCCGCCGAAGCGAGGGCGCTTGACGGCCCCGGCGCGGGGCTCGCTCGCAGCGTCGCGCGGCGCCTTGGCGGGCGAGGCTCCCGCGCGGCGCAGGTACCACTTCAGGCCGAAGAGGAGGCCGAAGAGCAGGCCCACACCCATCACCGCGGTGGCGGCCAGCAGGACGAGCTGCACGGTGCCGCCCCAGGCGCGGCGCGCCCAGTCGCAGGCGCCCCACAGCAAGCAGGCCCGGAAGAGCCAGCGGAACATGGCGGCGCTGCCTCCGCCGGCCGGCGCGCGCCGGCCCTGCCGCCGCGCGCGGCGGCGGGAGGTTCGCCGCGACTGCAGCGCGCGCACGCCGGCCTCGGCAAACAGGGCGAGGGTAGGCAGCGTGCGCAGCGTGGTCACCGAGCCGAGCCTGGAGGAGGAGGTACGCGGGGTGGGGGTGCGGGGGCTGGAGGGGGCCTCGCCGGCCGATGTCGCGGCGGCCAGGCTTAGGCGCCGCAGCTGGGGGGGGAAGTGGGTGGGAGACCGATGGTGGGGAGCAGCGGATCACATAAATGCCCCGAGGACGGGCAGGCGAGAGACTGGGAGAGGACTGTCTTGCCACCTTCCATCTTACCCCACCGGTGTGCACATCGGATATGCGCATCAAGGCGTCAGCCTCACCTGGCGGTGTCTTTCCACGGCCAGCTGCTGCCACCTCAGCATTAAGACCCGGCCCTCCATCCATGCCTCCACCAATGTGGTCAGGGGGAGGCACGCCAGGTTGAACAGGGACTGAAGTATGCTCCTGCCAGGTCGCAAGTGTTTGGTTGCAGGATGGGGTGGCCTGCCAGGCCGATGTAGGAAGGAACAGGACCCCTGAATGCCCCCGTGAAGGCATGCATCAGGGTTCATTCCCATACAGATCCTTTTGGACAGACGTCATCTTTACACTGGCAGTGTATTAAGGAATGCGCATGCAGGACCCCACCTGTGAGCCAGCTCGCGCCCAAGGTAATCCACCAGCCAAGTTTTTGGGCCCCTAAGGGCCACCGAGCAGAGGAGAGCGTACACTGCTGCATCCCGGTAGTCGGCCAGCACCGCATACAGGTTCCATAAAAGAAGCCCTATGAGGGCTGCCAGGGCATTGCCGGAAGCATACAGGGCAATCTGCAGGTACGCCCTCTGGGGCAGGGCGGGGCGAGCATCCTCTTCCCTATCCCCACGATTGGAGAAGGAAGACTCCATTCCTTGGGGGACAGTAGAAACAAATATGCTCCATGTATATCGCTGCTCGAATGTGGCGAGTCGCTGGCACGCTCGAGCCTTAAAAGTGCAAATCTTACTCGGGGGCGCGCAAGATCACTTACGGGACTTCCGGCGAGGGGACACCCGGGGCAGCGTACCGCTGCCACTGAGGTGCATGCCGCTGCCGCTAGCGTTCTCACAAATGTTGACACGCCTCCATTCCATCCAATCGCACGTACACCTTGCGGCGACACCCTGGGAATTGGGTCGCTGACGCGGGGTACAGCCAGCAGGAACATACGTGTGCAATCCAAGCCATTACCCAATGCGCCGATAACCGTGTGCCAGATACCGTGCCTCATCCCATTTAGCTATCTGGTACTCAATCTCATTGAAAATGGAGGGCTCGGGAAGGCCTGAGGTGGACGCTCCTCTTCCCCCGAGCGCGGCAGTCCAGCGGACCCTGGAGGCCCTCCGACTTCGTGTCAAGGAGTATGACATGGCACGCGCCCAGGATCGTCTCACCATCGCGGTGGTGCGCGGTGCATGTGCGGGGCTCGCGGTTCGAGGTGGCCTGCATGCCGTCTCGTACCTGGCGGGCAGGCTCATGAGGAGCAGGCGCAGGGAGCAGCCCTCGTCCGGCCCCACCCCTGTGGAGAGACTGGTCGAGACCCTGCGCTATGGCGCCTTCCTGGGGACCTTTGGAGGGGTGTATGTCTCGGCCGACGAGCTCATCGCCATGCTCCTGGGGCGGTCAAGGTATGGGTGGCAGCGGGTTGTGGAGTTGTAGCTGGGCTGCATGGCGCCGACCTCTCCTCCTCGCTGGGCTCCACCAGAGCGTTGCTTGAGTGCCGGGCAAGCTGAGTGCATTGAAATCGTAGCAACCCGCTCCACGACCATCGCCCGCCCCATCCTCTCCGCGCAGGACCAGGGGGTGGCGGTCCCTGCTCGCCGGCCTCCTGGCCGGCCCCTCCATCCTGCTCACCGGCCCAGGGTCAAACCACACCAGCCTGGCCATGTACGTCTTCCTGCGTGGCCTGGTGCTGCTGGTGCGGTGCGGCAACCTCCCGGGGGGCCCCGCCTGGCGCCGCAGGCTGCTGGCGCCCACCCGCGCCACCCATGGCGACGTGGCGCTGATGTGCCTGGCAGTCACCCAGCTGGGCTACAGCTGGATGGTCACGCCCAAGGTGGGCGCTGGGAGGGGCGACTCGCTGACCCGCGTGCCTGCACCATGGTCTGATTTGTCTGGTGTAGGGACAGGGATGCCAGGCACGTCGCATGTATGCACTGGGTCTCCGGCAGGGAGGGCACCCGTGCCTGTTGCGAGGGTCGCAATGGCCAATGGGCGGGCCTTTTGCATGGCAATTGAGGACACCCTTCTGCTGCTCTGAGAGGAGCTGCAAGCCTCCCCCGACCCTCAGCACCACCTTCACTCGTAGACCCTCCCCGGCGCCTACATCCGCTTCCTGAACAAGCATGGCGGCAAGCCGACTTACATGTGTGCGGTGGTGTTGAGGCGGTCGGCATGGCCCGAGTGAGCAGAAGATGTACCCAGTGCCAGCTCCCTGCCCTTTCCTCAAGCTCTCAATCCCCTCCCACCTGCAGGTACGCAGCGATACGGGAGATGATGGCCCTGCAGCGGCGTGGGGAGGCCCACCCCCCGCGGCCCTTGACGGCGCTGCGCGGCACGCCCCATGCCGGGTTCAGGGGCGTGATACCGTGCAGCTTCCTGCACGAGGGCGAGACCTGCAGCCAGGCCACGCTGGCATTCGCCCCGGAGGCCTACATGCGGGCGCTGCCCGTGTGAGTATATTAGAACTGGTGGGGGTGCGGGTATTTTCAGGAGATGGAGAGTGATGGCAATCCAAGCAGGTCCACTTAAGGGAGGATTGCTTGTTGGAAGGCCACAACAGGTGGGAGAGGGTCGGCCCCATGCTCACCCACATCTCCCTTCCACCTTCCCCTTCCCTCGTGCACGCAACCCAACCCCAGGTACTTCCCCGTCTACCTCATCCCCGCGCTCTTCGTGCACCGCCAGCGACTGCTGGACCCCAGGGTCGCGCCCGAGCTCTGGCGCCGCCTAGTGCTGGGCATGCTGCGCTCCAGCGCCTTCCTCACCCTCTTCTGCGTGCTGGCGTGGCGGTCCGTGTGCCTGGGTGAGTCGCTGTGTGCAAGGCTGGAGGGGGCTGGGCAAGCACGGCACCCCTGCATGCCGGCCGTGGTACACTCTGTGTGCGCCCTGACGATATCCCTCCCTTTCCACGACGGCTCCCGCATCGCACCTGCCCACCTGCCCAAATCCAAACCATGCTCGCTCGCAGTGCACAATGTGGCGGGCCGCACCACCGGCCCTCTGTTCATGCTGGCGTGTGGGGCCGGTGGCCTCTCCCTGCTGGCGGAAAAGAAATCGCGACGCATGGACATCGCCCTCTACTGCCTGTCACGGGTGCGCAGGGCGCCACAGCCTGTTTGTGGTCTTGGAAATCGGCCCGGGGATGGTTGTGTTGGAGTTGCCAATAGCGATGTGGCGTGGCACTGTTTGCCGCACGTGCTCCACTATGTGTGCTGCCAGATCAGGGCCCCGATATGCTGACTCAGAACCCATGCGCCGTGCTTTCCACATTGCAGGGCGCAGAGTCCGGGCTGCTCAACCTGCAGCTGGCCGACTCAGCGCTGACCAGGCACCTGCCGCGCCGCCTGGACGTCATCCTTTTCTCGGTGGCCACTGCCGCCATCCTGCACTGCTACAGTGACCACTGGGGAGAGCGGCGGGATGTCATCCGCGGGACCTACCTCTCAGTATTCGACTTCATCCTGGGGAACACAGGTGAGGCTTGCTTGTGACGGGTGGTGGCATGTGTGTGTGTAGGTGATCAAAGTTGGCAAGTGACACTGGAAAGTTTCAGCGGCACTGCTTGGAGATGCAGAGGGTAGAGCAATCACGTAATCAGGAGTGCTGCAGCCAGTCCAGGTCCCATGGTGCCTGCACTTATGAATGCAAGTTCGCCCTCGTTCCCCTTTGACAGCCAGGCCCAGTGCTTCACCCCTTCCCTCCCTCCCTCCCTCCAGGCTTCCAGAGCGCAGAGGTGAGGCACTCGCCCTCCAACCGGGAGATGCTGGGCAGGATCAACCAGTCACAGCCGATGCAGATGGTGCGATCGCTGTCCTCCCACGCATTCAAGCGGATCAGGAGCAGTCCCAGGGTGGACAGCAGCCAGCTGAGCCTGGACTTCAGGGGCGAAGGTGAGGATGGCGAGCCAGAGAGCCAATCGCCAGGGCACGAGCCGGGAGCCACCAGAGTGGACGAGGAGGAGGTGGAGGGTTGAGCACCGTCTGCTATCCCTTGCACTAGACGGTGCCCTATCGTTAAATGACTCCGCTGAAATGATTCACTGCTCCGTGGCTGTTCTCATCTTGTGTGATTCAATGTGACACAGAAGTCAATCCTCCCGATCTGGAGAGGCCCAAAGCCCATACCAGATTTGATTTTCTTAGATTCTGTTGGCGCCGCACCGGCCATACAACTCGCAGCTTCGCAGCAGCCTCAGCATCCCTGCGGGCGCGACTGATGCACATGGGGATCGAGGGCTCCGCCGCTTCATGCAGGGCAAATCCCGACAGATTGCCCAGTGAATCGGACTTCACAACAGAATTTAGCCCCTCTGACGCGCCCGGGCCAGCCCGCCACCCGTCCTGGGAGGGGTCATGGCGTGCAGCCCTTCTTGCTCCAGCAAGGGCACCAACCCGAGAACCACCAATCCGCAGAGGAACGCGGGCAGGAAGGCACCGCGACGTGCCCCTGCACCGGTAATCAAAGCTCCACCGAGGCAGTTGGCTCCCTGGGCGGCACGGACGCAGGTCTTCCGACGAGCCGTGGGCGCACCACCCTCGCCCGGCCGGACCTCCAGCACCACCTCCCTGGGCAGCCACGACCTACCGGATGCCTTGGCCGCGAGTGTGGCGGTGACGCCTTCAGAGCCCTCTCAGTCCGCCTTCTCGCGGGCGCTGCATGCCTACACCACTGCTTTGCGGGACCACCCCACCGCGACCAAGGCTGTCACCAGTTTCCTGGGCTTCGGCATCGGGGATGCCATCGCCCAGAGCATCGGCGCGCCCTTCGACATCACCCGTAACATTCGTATGAGTCTGTATGGTCTGATCCTTGATGGGCCCCTGGGCCACAAGTGAGTATTGGAGGAGAAGGGGGAATGGAGCAGGGTTGTGAGGTGCCTGAGCCATGCCCTCTTCCTGGGCTGACGTCGGAAGGCGCGCTCGCTGTCAGCGTATGCCATGGTACCAAAGTGCACTTTTGACATTGACCCTCACATCGCCTCCCTCTTCCCTCACAGATGGTACCAGATCCTGGATTCCAAGGTCTACCCCGAGGATCCCACTTGTACAAAAGCTGTGTTGATCAAGACTGCAGCAGATCAGCTGATCTGGGCACCGATTATGACTGCCGTATTCTTTGCGTTCTTGAAGACCATGGAAGGTAGGGAGTGGTAGGGAATTTGCCTTGTGGATTGGGTGGGAGCGTCCAAAAATCAGCTGTAGCTCCTCTGGACTTAGCTCATGTCTGCCGGAATCAGTTCCCCTTTCCTGTCTCGCCTCACACCCACCCGATTCCCTCCCTCTGCCCCAGGCCACCCCGAGCTCATTTTGCCCACCATCCAAGACAAGCTGGTGCGGGTGGTGCTGGCCAACTATATGCTCTGGCCCATGGCACACATCATCAACTTCAAGTTTGTCCCCAGCCAGCACCGAGTGCTGTTTAACAACGTCGTGTCGGTGAGTGCCCTGGATGATGGTGCAGGGGAAGGAGGGGATGATGCTAACTGGGTTCCCAGCGCTGAGGCCCCATCGCAGTGCAGCAGCTTGCGTGGCTTGCCTCCGCTGCCTGACCTGCGCTTATTGGCAGGGATTCCCCACTTAAACACACACACACACACACACACCCTCCCCCCGGTCTACAGATCGTGTGGAACACCTTCCTCTCCTTCTCCTGCGGTGACACCACTGACTTCACCACCGACGACGCCGGGGTGGACCCCGTCCCGGGCCTCTCCCACTTCTCCAGTGTGGAGGGGCGGCTGCTGACCAAGCTGCCGTGCGCCAAGCGCCCAGATGTACTGGACTCGCTGCATGTGGGCGACCTTGTGCGGCAAACGGCAGCCCTGGAGCGGCTGCTGGGGGCCTGGGGCATCCAGGTGTGTGCAGGGAAGGATGCGTGGTTGCTGGGTTTTGGGGAGGGAGGCAATGACCAGGTGTTGACGATGGGAAATGTTCAGGACGGCTATGTCCGAGGCACAAGTATCTTTTCAGCACATTGGTGGATCAAGTGCCGATGGTTCAGGTACGTCATTGCTGTGCCAGCCCCCATGCATTATTCATCATTAGTCACTATCCAACTCACGCAGGGACTGCCGAGCCCCGATGTGGCCAGCGACCTGCTTGGGCAGTATGTTGACCTGAAGCAGCAGCTGGTTCGGAAAGTGTGTGGGCTGCCATTCTGAGCACTTCTGCAGGACATTTTCTTTCGTCCCTCAGGGACGCGCTGGCCCCACAGGGCCGCAAGCAGCCAGAATTCTTGTCATACCCCTCCCTAGCTTGCAGTAAATGAAGGTGCACAGGCGGCATGGACACCTCCCCTCCCTCGCTCCTTTCCTCTCCTTACACACGACCTTCCTCACTCTTCAGGAAACCCAATTTTCTTTGTTGACCCTTTCTCTCTCTGTCATCATGCCCATGCCAGCACCCCCTTCATTTGATCGAACACGTATCTTGGCGGGCGCCGAGGCATGCAGCCGCGGCTCAAACCTGGCGCTGCACCCCCGCCTGGCCTTGACGGCCCTGGGCCTTGCCCCGCTCGGTCTTTGCAGCAGCCTGAATTCGCTGCTCACACTCCTCGCTGAGCCTTTGCTTAATTTTGTGCTGTAATATGAAACATGAAGGTCGTTGGTGCCGGCCGTGCGCAAGGGTCGCGAGCCAGAGCAGTCACCACCTTCTCCCCCCCCAAACATCATGCCATGGCTGCGAGCAGGAAGTTCTTGTAGTCGGCCATGAACCTCGCCACAAAGGCCTCGATGTGGAAGATGGCCTTGGAACCCTCCTGCAGCCGGTGCTCGAAGAAGGCGGCCTGCTCCGCCACGCTCTGCCGCAGCTCATCGTCCAGCTTCTGCATCAGCTCCAGCGCCAACCGGCGCATGATGATCTGCCAGGTGAGTATGGGGTGGCGGTCGTGGGGGAGTGCTTGGTGCTCAGCACAGCACACCTGGCTGCGGCTTCCCCTGAAACTCCCACCACTGACAGTCCTTTCCCTCCAGCAGTTGTGGGTCCGCGCCTCGATGACCTCAGCCTCATCAGGCCCCACCCTGCACGCATGACCCTCCTCGTCACACAGGCACTGCACCCACCTCTGGGGGGATGCAGTTGACGAGGAGCTCGTAGACCTTGCCGCGCACTGTGTGAAGGCGCCTGGGGCTCTGCTCGGCCCTGATTTCGGCGGCAATCTCCTGCGGCGCGGAGCAGGGGGGTGCTCGTTTGTGTGCAGGGCGTACGATAAGATCCTCACAGCCCGGGCCACGGCTCATCGGCGCGGTCCCTTGCTCCAACTCCACCACTCCCTGCCATCTCATCCCCGTCACCTGGATGTAGAGCTCCCAGTCGGCGGCCGCCACGGCCTGCCCCTCCTGGAAGGGGAACTGCTGGGCCTTGCAGGCCTCCAGCGCCAGCAGCGCACGGCGCAGGTTGCGGTCGCTGGCCTGCGCGATGCGCGCGGCCAGCTGCGCGGGCAGGGCCCAGCCCTCCGCGGCCGCCACCGCCCGCAGCCTGGCCTCGATCTGGGGGTGCGTCGGCGCGTGCACACGCACGCAAAGGCAGCGCGACCGCACCGGCTCGATCACCTGAGCGTGGCGTGCGCGCTTGTGGGGGCCAGCGAGGGAGGCCGCGATGCAGGCACGGCGCAGTGACAGCGGGCGCACCCCGGCAGCAGGGGCGGGGTGCGTCGGGGCTGGCTTCATGCGGCGCCGCGCACGCGAGGAGGCACCCGGCAGCCGGCCCATCGTCACACAACACACGCGCTCCCACCTTGGACACGTTGCTGCAGCAGAGCACGATGCGGCAGGCGGCAGAATACTTCTCCATGGTGCGGCGCAGGGAGTGCTGGGCCTCCTTGCTCATGCGATCCACCTCATTCAGGATCAGCATCTGACGGAGGGGGAGGCACAGCAGGTGAGGTGTACTCCCAGAGCTGGAATTCTCTGCAGGCTCCGAGGCGCTGACTCACACAGGCTTGCTGGAGAGTATACACATGCTCACATTGAAGCGCCCCCGCCCCCCCCCCCAAACGCACATGCGGCCCCGCACCTTGAACATGCGCTCGGAGCTGACGCCCACGGGCCGATTCTTGGCCATCTCCTGGATGATCTCCTGGACCACATACCTGACGGGCACGAAGAACGCGAGTGGGTGGGTGGGAGGGATAGGTAGGAAAACACTGTGGAGATCCAATCTGTGACTATGAAAGCCAGGCGCGAGACCCGGCGCAACACCCCAGGAGCACCCACTCCCCCTCGGCATCCAAGCAGCATCCCCCACCGCGCCCGCCCGCACGCTGCACCACCTCACCGGTCGTTGTTACCCACATCGCTAGGGTTCAGCTCCACATGGTATGCGCTGGCCAGCGTGGTGAATTCCACCTCCAGCGTGCGGGTGGGCAGCTCGATCTTCCAGGGCTTGCACTCCACTTTCAGCTGGGTTGGGGTGACGAGGGGAGCAGCAGGCGCGTGGGTGCGGCCTCAGTCACTGCAAGCACGCCAACACGAGCAGCGAGCTTGGCACGGGCTCTCTGGCCTCACCTTCTCCACGCCGGGGCCATACACCTCCCGCAGGAGCGCCAGGATGAGAGTCTTCTTGCCAGCCCCCGGGGGGCCGTAGAACAGGGCGTGCGGGCAATCGTTTTGCGAGATCTGCGGAGCCAGGGGGGTTCTGGTTAGAGTCCAGTGACCTCGCACCTTCCGGCATGCATTCCCCGGGCCCGCACCCCCGCACCAGCTTTGCTAGGTTGCATGATACGTCGCTGTGCAGGTCAAAGTCCTCCAGCGCTTTGGGCCGGTACTGCACGAGTGATGTGGATGCACGTTTTGCTTTGATTAGTGCTGCCTGATGAGAAGTCCATGGAGAGCCCGCATGGTGACTGGTACCTTGTCTGCGTAGAGCATGGCGTCCCGCACGACAACCTCTGCCGCTCCCTAAGCGATCGCGAATCGCGATCAAAGCATTTCTCCAAGGCAAGAATTATTACTGCCGATCTGAGCTCTCGATGGATTGCATCAGGGCGAGTGGCTTAATATTTCTCCTTTCGACGGGAGGCTCTGTAGAATTCGAAAGGCCCCTTGCCAGATCTGCAGATCTCGTGGTGGACCTCAGCCACGCAATACAGTCAGTGTCTTATCGGATTAATTTTCAGGTCCGGACAGTTGAAATGATTGGAACTGCACAAAACGAGAACTATCTGTCTGTCTGAGCCATCCGTTCGCCTGGTTTTGAGATTGGCAACCCCCCGTGCATCGTGCAGCCAGGGGTGAACCGAGTGGCTCACGAGTGAGCCTGGGAAACACCACGAAATGATGGTGTGCGGTAATTGAGAGCCTTCGACGTCGTTGAACCCGTGAGGAATCTGAAACTGCCCGTCCATGCCAAGGCCCACTCAGAAGGGCACCATCCCAGACGTGGTGGCAGGCCGGCATCCACTGCAATCTGGATCCTGAACCGAGCTCCAATATTTTGCGACAGACAGCATTTGTAATTCGCTGTCAGTTGGCAGAAGTGCGGGGTGATCAGGTCCGAATCCGCAGAGATTCGGGTTCCCTCTGCCGGGGTCGGGAGGGGGCATTCAAAAACAGCGGGGCCAGGTATAATGCGGTCCGTTGAGGATGGCACCGCGGAATGGAGTATTTTCCCCTTTTGCAGTAGCAATGCAGCGTGGCGGTGCGGTTTGTGCTCTTGCTCTGCCGAGCGAGGTATGGATCGAAGTGCTTAGCCGATTGAACGGTCAGGACCTGGCCCGTGCTCTGTGCACCTGCAAAGCTTTCTCTCGTTTGCAACAGCCCGTTTGGCAAGCTGCCTGCTTCAAAAGATGGAACAAGTGGTCATCATACCTCGACCCCGCCTCGCACTGGCGTCGACAATATGAATTGCTCTGCCTGCGGGAGCTGGCAGAGCAGACCGTGGCGGACGTAGGTCAGATACGCAACGCCCAGCAATTCGTCTCCGATCGGCACCGCGCCGTACTCGTGGAGTGGATGTGCGAGGTGAGGGGATCGGCTGGACGGTCGGAGTGTGCCATGCCAACGGGTGTTGACAATGCGGCGTGTCGGTGCTCCGTACCCGACCCCCCCCGACCCTGTGCCCCGTAAATTCGCAGATCGCAATGGACTGGAACTTGGAGACCGCCATTGCCTTCAAAGCCGTTGCCTATCTTGATCGTTACCTTTCAAGAAGCTCTGTCTCCCGTTTGGCAAGGTGTGTGCGCATCCCGCGGGCAGGTCGGACCACCTGTTGGTGGCACACAAGCTTCTCACACACACACACACACACCCGACCTCCGACCCGCAGATTTCAGCTTGTCGGAATCGCCTGCTTGCGCACCGCTATGGGAGACATGAGACAGCCCACGGCACTTGTTACCGAGAAGCACATGGATGCTGCCACCTTTGCCTATCTGAGTGATGATACATATACCTCGCAGGAAGTAGAAGAGGAGACACAGGTCAGTGGTGAGAATGTACAGTGCAGAGCGCAGAACTGGTCGTGTCAGAGAGGGATCGATGCCGCTGCCGCCCGGCATACATGACCTCGCACAATCTACGCGCATCCCTGCTTTTCAGCACCGCGCGTTGGTGCTGACCTTTGTTGTCCAGTGGTCCAGTGCCAGATGCTCATACTCCTGCCAACTGCTCCTCCAACATTCGCTGCCCCTCTCACAGGCTGTGATGGCTCTTATCAACGACACGACCAAGGTCGCCCCCAACCCCAAGATGTTCCTGCGCACTTTCTGGTACCGTGCCATCTTCAAGGGCGTCGCCCGCGCCGACGACATGCACGTCTACATCCTAGCGAGGTATGTGGAGGCTCTTTGAGCTTGACTGCTGGTTGGGGGTGGGCTGTGTTCCTGCAGTGATCGTGACCAGCGATGCACGCCTCCCCACGTTGACTCGGCACTGTCGCTGCCATGGCGTCGCTCGTGTGGGACCAGTGCGGTGCCCCAAGATTTCACTCCGTCCCACCACCCCGCACCGCAGTTTCCTGCTCCAGCTCAGCCTGCTTGATCTTGAATGCAGCGCGTACAGCGCCTCCCTCCTTGGGGCCTCCGCCCTGAGCGTTGCCCTCCGCTTCTTCGGCAAGCCCGCCTGGCCTCTGAGCATGCAGCAGTACGCTGTGTACCGCGCGGACGAGTTGGAGCCGTGTGCCGCCCGCCTCGCCTTCCTCCAGTCCTCCTGTGTGAGTGAAAGTGTGATGCGTGGGGAGAGCGGCTGGGTTCAGGGTCACGACCTCCAGGAGGCAGGGCCTGCTCAGGATTGCAGAGCGACCCACAGCATACACTTCCGATGGGAGGATCCCAAGGCCGGTCAGCTTGCAGACTTGCAACCACCCTGACTGTGGCATGGCGACAGCGACTGTGCTCCTGTTGAGTCTACCAACAGGCACGCGTGCTTGTCGTCACTCCTAACACCCACCAACGCGCTTCAAAGCCTCCCTCCCCGCTCCCTGTTGCAGGAGTACATGCAGCTGCGCCAGAAATGGCTCACGTCCCATGAAAACCATGGCTATGAGGAGCACACCGATGAGTGGCTGCGTGCCCTGGCCGTCATGCGTGGCCCCTGTGCCCTGGAGTCAGTCCCGCCAGCTATCCCCGCCCAAGGCCTTTTTGCGGCGCTGGACATGGGGCCGACCCCCATGGAAGTGTGAGCCATGCCCCTTCTATTTCTGCCTCTCTCCAATCATGTGCTGCGCCCTCCCCCCTCCCTCCCCTTCCTTCCCCGTCCACCCCCCTGCCTAGCCCTGTAGCGATAGATCGGAGGCTGTGATGCCTCCATTTCCTTTGGGGTCTGGAGTTTTTCTGTCCACGAGCACAGGCCATGCCAGGATTCCCCCAAAGAAGTTGAAGGCCCTGTGAACTCTCTGCACCTGAAACGGAACATTTTAAGCACCTGAGGTAGTCAGTCACACAGCCAGTCAAGCAGACTTCTTCCGCCGTTTCCTGCCGCCCTCTGCCCGCGTCCGCAGGGGCTCCACAGCGACGGGCACAGGGGGGCGCTTGGGGGCCGCGCGCTGCTGGGGCGCCGGTGCGGTGTGCTCGGCCGGTATTCGCAACCGCAGTGCCGCAGGCCTCCTTGGGAGTGCCGGCTTGCCTTGCTTTTCATTTATCTTGGGTGAGGGCCCGGGTACTCTTGTAACGGCGGGACTCTTTGCCCCGCTGCCCCGGCCATCGCGGGTGGAAGCTTCGGCGCCCCTCGCCGGCAGGGTTACCCTCTCCCGCGCCTGCCGTTTCTCCTTTTCCTTGGGCAGGGGCCCCAGGAGGGCCGGGGGTTGGCGCCGCACCGGCTCCACCGCCACTCCCCTGCCCGGCGCGCTCAGCTCGGGGTCCACCGCCTCGTCCAGGAAGAAGTCGTCCCCCTCGCCCTCGCTGCCGGACGCGGCGGCGGCCAGCTCCGCGGGCGGCTCTGTCGGCGTGGGCGCCGCGCCCCGCCCCGCCCCGGCGCCCTGCATATGTTTCAGGGTCGCCGCCAGGCTGCGGCCCTCGTCCGCCTCGCCGACCAGCGCGGCGCGCGCGAGGTCGGCGGCCACCAGCGCCCGAAGGCGCGCACGCTCCGCCTGCACACGGGCCGCGTCCGCTTCCGTCTCCGGGTCCTTCAGCACCGACACGTACTTCTCGCCCTTGGGAAAGTGCAGCACGTATTGCAGGTCCCGGCGGGCCTGCTCCAGCTGGGCGGTCAGCGCTGTGGCGGCCTCGCCCGCCCCGCCAGCGGCCGCCAGCTGCTGTTCCAGCTGGCGCAGGCGCCGCTCCAGCTTCACACGCTCAAAGAAGTTGACCTTGTGGTAGCGCACCGCGTACTTGCGCTCCAGCTCCTCGCGTGAGTGAGCCGCGGCCGCGGCCCGCAGCTCTTCCAGCTTCTTCTCCTGCCGCGCGCGCAGTTTGGGGTCCACCTCGAACTGCATTGGAGGTTGGGGAGGAGAGGAGGGTCGGGGTGGCACCTGGGTGGAAGAAAGAGCTGATATTGATGCATGGGATGGCCTGGCCCCCACTTTCAGGTGTAGCACCCCAGCCCGGCCCAGACAAACCCACACCTTTGAGAGGAGCCGCTCCACTGATCGTATCTGGTTCTTGTAGCTCACTGTTGCTTTCCGCTTCGTCTTCGCCTGGCCGGGCCTCACCGAGCGCTGCGCCAGCACACTGGCCGCGACGCTGGGCTTCTTGTGGGCCTCGCCCCCCGCCATGGCACAGGGGAGCCCCGCCCCGTGCCCCAAGCTTCTAGGCTAATCTCAGATACGACAAGAGGAAATCGATATATGTACTTTTCAGTAGGATGCGCCCTGTCGCCTCTAAGCATGTGTTGGATACTATCACGCATGTCCACGCGCGTGTTTCGCATTCAGTCCAGCACGCGCCGCAGCGTGGTGGAATGATAGGCGGGCGTGCCTCCCTCCTCTCTTCCTTGTCATACGCCCGCGTCCCCCCATCGCTGCCCTCCCGGTCTCACGGTTACTATATGGGCCTGGGGTGCTGCTCCCTGCTCAGGCGTGTTAAAGCGCCCCAGCCCTCAGAAGAGGTGCACCTCCGCCATGCCCTCCCGCCGCTGCGGCGAGTACCAGACCACCAGGCGCGCCGCGCCCCCCGATCCCGGCAGCACGCAGTCCGCCCCCACCACCGTCTCCAGCCTGCTGGCGCGCACGCTCAGCGCGGTGGCCACCAGCCCGTGCACGGTGGAGCGCTCGCCCTCGTCGGCAGGGACGTAGGTGGGGTCCAGCGCGAAGCGCAGGTCGCACCTCGCGCGCAGCGGGCCCCACACCTGCTGCGCCAGCCCCGCGGACAGTGCGTGCCAGGTGCCGCGCCCCTCCAGCGCGAAGGCCGGGTGCCGGTCAGGGTTGGCGCAGGGGCCGAGGCCGGTCGACGCGCCGCCCGCCGTGCCGGCCCAGCCTCCTCCGACGGCAGTGTGGGCGTCGGGGGCGGCCGGCAGCGCGCCCAAAACATGCTGCGAGGTCAGGCCCACGTCCACTCGAAGCGCGGCGGCGGTGAAGTCCAGCCAACGCCGCCTGAACCGCCCCAGCTGCCCGCTGATGCCCGCCGACAGGAAGACGCGCAGCGACGTGTTCCTGCCAGGGAAGAGGGGGTGGGAGACATGCGGTTTGGTGCGGGAAGCCGTCTGCATCTTCACGTGCCAGGACAGCAGTAGCGGCCGCCGGGCGGACGCCAGACAGGTATGCGACGCCGGAGCTTCGTGCCACTATTGCGCCCAAGCTTTTGACGCAGGGCCTTTCCACACAGCGCCAAGCCTGCTGCAGCGTCGCCTGCACTTCCCTCTGCACTGCGCATGAGCTAGGTCCGCACCAATTCCAGGCCACCACGGGACAGACCTGAGGTAGGGCTCCCATGCGTCCCCGCCTCGCGCAGATGCCAGGCTGGCCGAGGAGGCTCGCCAGCCTGGCTGGCCCGCCGCCGGCGCGGCCGCAGCCTCGCCCACCTGCTGGCCTCGGCTGCGTGACAGCGGCAGGCCGGTGCTGCCGGGGAGGGGCACCCTTCCTAGGCAGCCTATGGCGCCGTTTAGCTTGAGGTGGGGGCCCGGCGTCAGCAGGCTGTGCGGCGCCTCCCCTGCCCGCCGGCCCGCGCCCGTGCCCCGGCCCAAGGCGTCCAGGTCCCAGGCCTCGGCGCCGCCGGCGCGGAGGTCGGCCAGCGCAGACTGTGCACGTCGCAGCGTGCCCAGCGCAGACAGGACCTGGGCGTTGAGCGCGTCCAGGGGGCTGGGCCTGGGCGCGGGGGAACTGTTTGAGGGGGCTGTGGTCGCCTCAGGCTCTAATCCCTGCTTGGAGATGATAAAGGCCTCAAGGGGGACGGGAGCGCCCGGAGACTGCGGGCCACCTGCGTTGACCGCGAGCATGGGAGCGGCCGGCTCGGCAACTGAATTCAATGCGGGCTGTGCAACATCCAGGCCCTTTGCGACTTCTCCCGCAAAGTCTCCGGCCTGGCCACTCGCAGAGGAATGTGCGGACTCTGAAACTGGTCTTGGAGGGTCAACCTCAAGAACCTGCACCACATCTTCTGCTCTGGACGAACATTCCATGCCCGTGGAGGTGCTCGCCTCAGGGCCGATCGCGCCACCCGCGTCTGACGCGGCGCCCGCGCGCTCCTTCCTCCCCCCTCGGAGTCCGGCGCGCCACAAGTACGCCTCGCCCTCCACGGCCACTGCGCCCTGCACATGCTGCGTGCTACGGAGCGGGCCGCTGCCGTCGCTGTCAGCAGGGGCCAGCGCCTGGAGGTGGGTGCATGAGTGATGTGTAAGGAGCGGTCGAGGATGAGTGGGTCTGCAGAGATGTATCCTTACCCTCCTCCCTTCCACCTCAACCTCACCACCGCACCTGGTGGAGGCCGATGCGGTACTGCATGCCGTCCCCCCGGTCCAAGGCGGAGGAGAGGTCCAGGGAGGCGGTGAGTGGCACGACACACGCGACCCCGGTGGCATCCACCACCTCCTGGCCGGACGCCAGGCTGGCGGTCAGTTCGTGCCCCGGCAGCGCCATGCGCAGCGTGCCCCGGGCCGCCGCCCCCTCGTCCCCGGGCGACGGGGCGGGCGGCGCGGCGCCCTGCAGCGCGGCGTCCAGCCGACGCTGCATCGGCCGCAGGTCTCGGGCCTCCATCAGCACGCTCAGCGTGAGGAAGCTGCGAAGGGGCGTGTGTGTGGGAGTGGGTGCGTCACCATTGCAACAGGCGTCGCTGAGCGCTGGTGAGAGTGGATCCCAAAGCAAGCATGCTCCTGTTCTGAATCTGCGACCAATTTCGGTCCAGGCCCTGAGCCACACACAACTCCTCCCACGGCCCCCTCCCATCCTCCCGTGCATCACCGTGCGATCTGGGAGTGGAGGCGCAGGCAGGCGGCGTAGTTCTGGGGGTCTTTCAGGGGACGCAGCATGGCTGGCCCGTCCAGGGCCGCCCCCTGGCGGAAGGCGCGCTGGGCGTGCATCCTGGAGCCCAGCGTGGCCCACCACGTCCGGCCCCCGATCCTGGCCAGCACCCTGTCGAGGATCTGCGGCAGGGGAGTGTGTACGTGCCAGGTCAGGCCAGGGAGAGCCATGCCCGGCGCACACAACCTGCTACAGGTGCCTGGGGTTGTGCCCACACAACCCAAGCGTGAGGCGAGGGCAACTTTGTCCTCATCGATTCGAAACTACACCCCACACCCAGACCCACCAGTCCACCACGATCGCCCAGGTAGGAGGGCAGGGCCAGGATGCCTAGGGCCTGGGCAGCGAGCAGCTGCTGGGTGCGGGAGAGGCCAGAGGGGGCCATGAGCCCCAGGGGCACGGGTTCGCATGGGTTGAGGACGGTCTTGCCATCGATGGACCGGGGCGAGGCCGCTTCCTGGCCCCAGAACTGGCTGCCCAGGGCAGCCCGGACCTCCTGCCGGGCCCGCAACTTCTCCGGCACCAGAGGCATGCCGGGGGCCGATCGATGTCAATCCCTCCCCCTTTCGGATCCAAAGAAAGCTCAGGGATTGACGCGAGGGCATGCACACCCGCGATTGCACAGAGGGATGTTCTGATGGCATCGGTGAGGCCGATCCTGGCCGTGGACTGATCCATGCGCGCATCTCATTGGGGTGGGGATCGAGAGTTTGGGTCAGCACGGCATCATTGCAAGTGCTTGGCATGGAAAGCAAGATGATCCGCAACGAACGTCCTGCAGAACGTGAGAGTATGATGCAGGCGTCAGAGTGATTGACAAAGTGTTTGGTAGGACTGGGTGGCCGAGCCAGCACTCCCACACCTTGTCATGTACATACCCATACTCGATGGCATACACCAACTTACGCAATGGTATAATACGAGTGATCGTAGCCCTCCTGCATCCGCAACTCCAGCGCCAGCTTATCACCAGCAGCCTCCTGGAAAACCTCTGGCTGCAGCTGCTTGTTCAGGAAATCGTCCCCAGTTCCTGCAAGAAAATGGGTTGCAAGGGGGTGGGTTATTCGTGCACTGTGGTGGTACTCTGCAAGGTTCCAACACCAGAAACACTCAGAATAGACCTTGGATGGCCATAAACTCCAGCCAACCCCCACGCTCCACATCATCCTCCAGCAGCACCCACCCTGATCGATGAGGATGGCCTGCTTGCGCCCAGAGTAGTCCTTCACCAGCTCCGTGGCATCATACTGCAAGCATGAGGTGGCCAAAAGAAGATCTTATACCAATTGGACCATCAACACACATCTATATCCGGACGCAGACGCATGTGAGTGCTTGGGGCCTCAGGTTCAGCTGTCGGGCCAGGGCAAGGGACATGATTCCCCGACCAGACCCTACCTGTGCCCAAGCTTCCTTGTCGTCCCCAAGGTACCCCTTGAAAGCCTTCTGGCCCCAGGGTACTGCAGAAGGGTTCACAATGGGCGCAAATGCGCTGACAGACCTAAACGACCCCGGGTTCTTCAGGGCCATGATGAGCGCGCCGTGGCCCCCCATGGAATGACCCATGATGGAGGACTGCAGGGTGATTATGATGAGAGGACTTAATTTGGTGCAGGAATAGCTTCAGAATTACCTAGAATTGTGAAAGAATGAATGCTGACATGACCAGTCTCCACCACTCGAGGTGCGCACGGCACAGGGCAATTTACGCACGCCTTCCAGGCAGGGCATGTCAAACCCACTGTCCCACGCTGTGGACCCCCTGGTAGACGCCCTTGCCTTTGTTAAGTCCAGACCCTTGATGTCGCCGAGGACTTGGGGAAGCTCCTGGAGGACGTAGTCGTACATCCTGTACCGCTTCCACTGCTCCTGAGTTGCATTCAGGTAGAATCCCGCCCCCGTGCCAAAGTCATAGGCGTCGTCCTCCCCTGGGATTCCCAGGCCCCGCGGGGATGTGTCAGGCGCCACCAGCGCCAGGCCCAGCTCGGCAGCCTTGCGCTGGGCACCCGACTTTTGCATGACATTGTCATCTGTGCAGGTCAGGCCGCTGAGGTAGTACACAACCTTGGGAAAGGGGCGGGGCGGGGAGGGACATTGACGGTTTGAGATAAAAGTAGAGGGTTGATAATTTTCGCTGAAGCTCTGAGCGAGCAAGTTCGAGGGCAGCAGCCAATCTTGCCTCTTCGCAGGGTGCAGACTCACCGGCACCGCCTTCTGGGTGGCTGCAGGAGGTAGATAGACCGAGAAGGTCATCTTGCAGCCCAGCACTTTGCTCTCATGGGTGAATTTGTTGACAAACCCTCCAAACAACTGCGAGTGGCATGTGACGGAATTTGAGCATCAATGCTGGGCGCAAAGGCGCAGCGGCAGGGGGAGGACTCCGACAAAGCCCCGCGCACCTTATTGCACTGAACCTGGGAAGCCATGATCAAGTAATCAAAGCGACTGTGTGATAAAATCGATGTCAAGCGGGAACGACTTTTTCGCGAATAGTTATTCCCGACATTGGCGCATGTCTGTAATGTGAACCCTACGAGTTGTGCCCAGATCGGTACCGTGCTTTGCGGTACCCCCGCGCATTCAAAAATTCGACACCCAGACCAGATCGTCAGGACGCGCAAGCGCACCAATCAGGGCGCACCGCTGTGTACAAAAGATAGAGCACGGCAGATATCCTGCGTCGCTCAACCCAAAGGTCGCATTCCAGCTCTCCGGGCGAGGACTGGACCGGCTGCAGTCTCGTCGCTATGGTGGACTTCGCAAGGGACAAAGGCGAGTGCAAGAGTGAGGGACTGGAAGTAGGGGATACGATCTGCCCCCGAGTAGCTTAATCATTCTTTTCCACCTCGACCGCCATCGCAGAGACGCTGGTCGATTTCCTGGAGAACTACAGCGGCACGGAGAAGGATGGGGAGGGCCATGTTTGGACCAATGCCTTCAAATACTGCAACCAGCTGGTAAGGCTGTGAATTCAACTCAAGGGCGCTAGGATGAATTCGAATGAATTGAATGCGCTGGTGCACATGCAGAGGTATAGATCCTGACACTGGAGAGCAGTATGGGCACCCACCACCCCCAAACATCTTCCCGCACACACCACAGCAAGCCATCGTGAATCGCGAGCGCGCCACTCTGGAGGTGGACCTGGATGACGTGGCTTCCTACGTCAAGGACGGCGACCTGGTGCACCGAATGGAGACCAACACCCAGCAGTACCTGTCCCTGCTGGCCTCTGCTGCCGACGAGGCCATGCCCGCCCCCACCAGGTCCGACCTCCCCGACGACATCTTCGACATCCTGCTCGACCAGGTTTGAGACGGGGATGGAGAGAGGGGATTATTTGGAGGGGAAGGGGCCCTGGCGGTGGGCGTCAATGCCCCTGTGCACTTCCTGCCGGGGCAGTCTGCGCTGACGTTGAGCTCACGAGGAGGTAGGACGAATGTTCTGTACGACTAATTCCTGCCTGGATCCACATGCCATGCCCCAGTTGTACACACAAGGCCAGGTACCTTTCCTCACACCCACACCCTCTTGTCTCCTCCTACCGCACAGCGGCGGCGCGCAGAGGAGCTGACCCGGGCCCAAATGGAGGTCGACGGCCGCACGGGGCAGTCGGACCCCAACTTTGCGCTCCCCGCCGCGCTGACGAGGCGCTTCGAGGTCTGCATCCGGCCACGCTCCACCACGGAGCATGCCCGCCTGCGCCAGGTGGGCGCCGCCCAGATCGGGCACCTGGTCACCTTCCGCGGCATCGTGACGCAGGTCACCGACGTCAGGCCACTGCTCACCATCGCCACCTACCTGGATGACCAGACCGGGTTCGAGATCTACCAGGAGGTGGGCGTTTTCTTTTACCTGTTTTTTTGGGGGGGGGGGGTTGATTCTTGTAGGGGATCGGTGCTGGGCGTTTGCGGTGGCTGGGAGGGAAGCGGTCGTGGGAGGGCAGTGGTCGTGGGAGGGCACTGACAGTGCGAGGGCAGGCGCAGGGTGGACGGGATCATCATGGCCTACCTTGCTGCGGGGAGGGGTAGTCGCCGCTGCTGATTGCAGCGCAGGCAATCCTCTGCATGAACAGCCATGCCGCCGGACCAGCGCTGCTCTGCGGCCGCATGCCACGCACACTTTGCACTCTTGCGGGCACTTCCCATCACGGCTGTGAAGTGGCTGACGCCTGCCCCTCCCAACCAATCCCCCAGGTGACGGGCAAGACGTTCACCCCCTTGGCGGAGGCCCCCGCGGCGGTCAAGGCCATGAACGGCGGGAAGAGCGAGCTGCACCTGCAGACGCGCGGGTCCAAGTTCGTGCGGTACCAGGAGTGCAAGGTGCAGGAGCTGCCGGAGGAGGTGCCGCAGGGCTCCACGCCACGCACGCTGACCGTGCAGCTGCGGGACGCGCTGACGAGGCGCGTGAAGGCCGGCGACGCGGTCACCGTGTCAGGCATCTTCCTGCCTGAGCCGTACGCGGGCCCGCGCTCCGCCATGCGCGCCACCCTACTCACCGCCACCTACGTCCAGGCCATGGCCGTCACCCAGAACAAGCAGAGCTACCAGGTTGGTGATTTATGGGGGACACGGAGGGGGAGGGGCGCTGCAGTCTCCAGGACCCCGTGATGAAGCACGCCCCCTCTCCCCCTCGGCGCCACCCCGCAAACACAGTCCCCCATCCCCAAACAACCACCCCAGGACATGCGGCTGGACGGGGAGACGCGGGCCGCGATCGAGGCGCTGACGGCGGAGGGCGACGTGTACGGGCGCCTGGCCTCCAGCATCGCGCCCGAGATCTGGGGCCACGAGGACGTGAAGCGCGTGCTGCTGCTGTGCATGGTGGGCGGCGTCAGCCGCCAGCTGCCCGACGGCATGAAGCTGCGCGGCGACGTGCACGCCTGCCTGATGGGCGACCCCGGGGTGGCCAAGTCCCAGCTCCTGCGCTATGTCTGCCACGTCAGCCCGCGTGCGGTGTACACCACGGGCAAGGGCTCCTCCGGCGTGGGCCTGACCGCGGCGGTCATGCGCGACCCCACCACCGGCGAGATGGTGCTGGAGGGCGGCGCGCTGGTCATGGCCGACCGCGGCATCTGCTGCATCGACGAGTTCGACAAGATGGAGGAGGGCGACCGCACCGCCATCCACGAGGTCATGGAGCAGCAGAGCGTGTCCATCGCCAAGGCGGGCATCGCCACCACGCTGAACACGCGCACCACGCTGCTGGCCGCCGCCAACCCGGCCTTTGGCCGCTACGACGTGCGCCGCTCGCCGGCGGAGAACATCAACCTCCCCGCGGCCCTGCTCTCCCGCTTCGACGTCCTCTGGCTCATCCTCGACCGGCCGGGGCTGGACGCCGACCTGGCCCTGGCGCAGCACGTGCTGACCGTGCACCGGGAGGGCGCGCCCCCCGCGACCACGGGCCCCGCCCCACTGCCCGCGCCCCTGCTCCGCGCCTACATCGCCGCCGCCAAGAGCCACGAGCCCGTGGTCCCCGCGGGCCTCACCGACTACCTGGCCGCCGTGTACGCCGAGATGAGGAGGCGAGTTGCTGCCCATGGCGTGGGGGCGGGAGGAGGGGGAGGAGCATGCTGGGGAAGGAGCTGGGGCTCCTGTGGTGCGACTGCTGCTGCTGACAGTGTGAGGCTGCCCCCCTGTCGCCCCGAGGGGTGCTGCAGCCAACCAAACTCAACACCCACCCACCGTCCACACCGCAATGGCAGCGAGGAGGCGGCCGCCGAGATCCCGCACACCTACACCACGGCACGCACCCTGCTCTCCATCCTGCGCCTGTCGCAGGCGCTGGCGCGCCTGCGCTTTGCAGACTCCGTGGAGCAGGTGTGGGAGGGAAGGGGAAGTGGAGGAAGGGGGGGGGGTAGGGATGGGAGGGGAAGAAGCAGGCTTGGAGGAATGGGCTGGTCATTGGGGCGGCAGGGACGGTGTCCCAATCTTATGAGAAAGGGTGGTGCAGGCGTCGGCGCAGTCACAGCCCCGCTTGCCAGATCATTTCGTCTGTTTTGAGCGGGTCTCACATGCGCTCAGTGCCCTCAGCACCCACCCCTCACCCGCCGATGACCGGCCCTCGACTCCCCTCTTTCCACGCCCACAACCCTCAAAGAGCGACGTGGACGAGTCGCTGCGTCTGCTCAAGATGTCCAAGGCCTCGCTGTACGATGACGGCGGGCGGGAACGCGCCGTGGACCCCGTCTCCGCGGTCTTCTCCCGCATCAGGCAGCACGCCGAGCGGACGCGGGCCACCACCCTGAGCTGGGCCCAGCTCCTGGACCTCCTGGGCACCTCCTTCAAGGTGTGCTTTAGGGGGAGGGGGGCATTGTAGCGGGGGGGAGGGGGGGGGGGGGGCAGTGTTTAGGGGGGGAGGGCCAAGTGTTCGGGTGGGTGGGCTGCGGGGAGGGGCGTGAGGGTGCGGAGAGCGCTGCGGGGGAGGGTGTGGGTTCTACCGTGGGCGCCGGACTGCCCCGGCAACTGGCGTGCTCGGGGGGTGCATCGCCCAAACACACTGATCCAGCCAGCCACATTCCGATTTTCTTCCCTCCCCCGACCCATTACCTCTCTGCAGCCCGAGCACATCCGGCAGTGCCTGGTGGACTACGCCTCCATCAACGTGTGGCAGCTGGAGGGCGCAGAGGGCGATGCCCCCACCATCTACCTGGCGCCCGCATGAGCCGGGGCTCAAATGCGAGGGAGGGGCGCCCAGTCCACATGCCGTATGTCCCCTGCGCCAGCTTTCCTCACCCCCCTTGCCACCGATCCTGCCCTGACCCGCCACCCTGACCCACCCATCGCACTCTGACAGGAGATCTGTACACCATACTGCCGCTCCACGGCGAAAATTTAAGGCTCTCATGCACACGAGGGTGCCGGGCGTGACATGTGCCGAGGGAGACCAACAGCATGCAAAAGAAAAAAGAGAAACGCGCAAACGATGGCGACCAGGCCGGCCCTGTGGAGTGGTGCTCTCGTGCATTGCTGTTGGTCACATATAGGAGACAGTGCGGCTGCTACAAGGGGGGTGATGGGGGACAGGGCGTGAAGTATCACTGCGGCGCGGCGCTCTGTGAGCGGGTGCCGTATCGATGCCGAGCGCCTGACAGCCGGCAGCTCATGCTGCTGGGCGCCGGGCTGGCCACCTCCTCCTGCTCATGCGGGTGCTGCGAGTGCGAGGCGCCTCGTTGTGCCACACTACATACGGGTGGACGAAAGGGTGGAGGTTGGATGAGGGTCAGAAAGGGCTCCAGCACACAGGAGTGGTGTTGCTCAAGCTCACCCGCCTTGCGCCGCGCTCTCAGGCCATGCAGGGAACATCAGCCGCACTGCGAGCCGACCTTGGATGGCCCCTTGCTCATCTTTGCCAGGGTGCACATCAGCCAAAGCGACCCAAAAACAACACAGCATCTTCTTTCCCAACAATAAACACTGCACCTATTTGTGGAGAAGGTGGCGGACAGGGATCGGAAGGAGGCGGTGGCCAGCTGCTCCGTCAGCGTGTGCGGTGCGTTGGCGCTCAACGCCGCCCCCTCTCCCAGCCCAGCCCCTGGTCTGAGCGCAGAGCTGGCGGGGGAACAGTGCGGCCCCCGACCGGCCAACGCCACGCCGGCCGACGCACCGCCGCCGGAGTCCCCACCGGTACCCTCGCCCCCGCCTCGCTCCGTGGAGGAGGAGGCGCTGCCGCTGCGCCCTGCAAGCAGGGCGTAGAGCGGGGCCGGCAGGGAAGGGGCGGAGGGCACGCGCGGCAGCGGCGCGGCGTCGCGCCGCTCGCGCGGCCTGGCCGCCGTGCCTGGCCCCTCTGCGTGGCGCTGCCCCGCCACGCCCGGCAGCGCGTCCACGGCGGCGGCGGCGCGGCGGCCCAGCGCGCGGCGGCGCCCGGGCGGCGCCATCTCCAGGCTGGCGCGGCAGAGCGGGCAGGTGAAGTCGCCGCCGCGCGCCTGCTGCAGCCATGCGCGCAGGCAGCCCAGGTGGAAGGCGTGGCCGCAGGGCAGCGCGCGCGCGGAGGCCAGGCGCTCCATGCAGATGGCGCAGTCGCGCCCCGCCAGGCACTCACGCGGGAGGGGCGGGAAGCTGTGCTGCAGCTGGTGCGTCAGGCGGCGGTACCGCGCATACCCGCGCACCCGGCGCAGCGTGCCCATCACTAGGTACCGCACGTCCAGGAAGAGCACGGCGTCGATGAGCTGGAGGCGGAAGCCGTGCAGCCACCAGAGGTGGCAGTAGTGGCCCAGGGTCAGCGCGTGCAGCACCAGGTCCACGCCCACCTCCACGTGGTAGAGGAAGGGGCCGCGCCCCTCCCAGCCCGTCGCTGGGTCGGCGCCGGCGGCCTCGGCGCGCTGCGCCTTCCAGCGCTCCACGGCGTGCACGCCGTACTTGAGCACGGCATGGGCGGCCTCGATGGCCACGCAGACCGCATCGAAGAGCCAGAGCAGGGCGTGGGACAGCGCGGCGCTGGGGCGGCTGGGGTCGGCGGCGGCGGCGTAGGAAGCCACCCAGGACCCGGCCTGGCCCAGGATGCCCACCAGCAGCACCAGGCAGCGCGCGTGCTGCAGCGGCGTGGCGCGGGGGGAGGACAACAACGCCTCGCAGCGGTCGCGGGCCAGGCCCACAAAGGCGCGGAAGAAGGCCATGACCGAGAACCAGAGCAGCCAGGTACCCAGCTCGTGCGGCTCCGGGTCCACCACCGCGCCTGCGACAGGGAGGGGGGAGGCATGGTGAGGCCACAAGGTTGAGTGTGTGTCCAGATACTGGTCATTTGGGTCCTTGGGAAGTCGGCCCAAGCTGCTGCAGTGGAAGGCAGGATTGTCACGCTGCTCGACAAGCACTGCAGGCCAGGATTCTCCACACCCCTTCTGAGTCAACAACACCGTGCGCCTGCTGCCGCACCCACAGTCAACTCACCCAGGAAGACGACCTTGAGCATGACAAACTTGAGCATGCGCTCCGCCAGTTTTGTCGTCTCCAGGATGGTCAGCTGACCCAGGAAGAGGGCCTGCAGGTGGGATGGACAGGGATGTAAATTTGGGGCTGGGAGTGCTGAGGTCAACCCCTAGCTCAAAGGGACCTTGCCCAATAATCTAGGGAGAGCGTCCGCCCCATTTGGGACCACAGAGCCAAGGTGCCTCATGATGCCTGAAATGAAGTAACTTTGCTATGACCAAACCAAACCCCACCGCATACCTTTGTGACCAGGGCACCCAGTGCATAGGTGGAGAGGAAGAGGCTGCAGAGGAAAAAAAGCCCCAGCTGGCTCTGCAGCACGTCCTCCAACACCTCGCTCGATCGTGCCCGGGCCTCGTCAAACGCCACACCGGGGTCGGTGCTGCAGGGGTACATTGTGAGGGGAAGTTCGATCAATAATAGCAGGATGGATTACGGAACCGAAGTAGCTGGCCAACCCCAGAGCCCACTCAAGTGCATTGACACACCACCATCGCCTCTCACCCCTCTTGCCAGGCCCTGCTCAGCGTGTCTGCCGCCAAGCTGGCCGACTGCTGACCCGCTCCGCCCCCGATGGTGCCCAGTTGGTACCACAGGCCCGACCCGGACGCCAGGAAGACAGACATGATGATCATCCATGGCTGCACGGCCTGACGAGAGGCCAGCTCCGGCGGCATGGGCGTACGCGAAGCGGTAGTGGGTTTCGGAGAGCGACCAAGCCACCAAGGTTGAACGACTGCTTGCGGGCGGCCACAGCTCGGTGCGCCACGGCGGTCGTCGTCGGCACCGGAATTCGAAGCGCACGTGAGCTACGCTCCTTAACGCGTCAAAGTAAGCGTGCCCGTCTACAGCGCCTTCTTCAACTCAGTCCTGGTGTAGCCTGGTGCATTATACCGAGAAATGCGGAGAATGATGATCCAAGAAGGCGGAGGAAACGCACCGGGAGTGGGCTTTGAGAATACTCCTCGCAGGCCTCGGTAATCGCAGAGGCTCGGCAGGGGTCCGGGCCCAGCATTCACCCACAAAGTAGGCTTGGTTAATCTCTCGATGATGTCGTTGGGTGTTGGAACGTTAAAGGAGTACGTCGTGGTCCTCCTCCCCCGGGTGAGAAAATCAGGCTGACGTGGCAAAACTGCCCGACACTTTACAAGGGTTTCGGCGACCACTAATGGATTGTGTCCAAGATTGGTGTCATCTGCCAGGGCGAATTCGATGTTTGCAAATCTCACAATGTTGTAATATTCAGGTGTACCTGAACAGATCACCCCCAGTGGATTGAGCTTACCTGTTGACGCTGGGCACAGTAACTGCCAGACATGGCAGGAGATGGAAGCAGGAGACTGGAATCCATTGAGTCTGCAGCTTTGAGCTCACTGCACGTGCCTCATTGGTCCGAGTGCTTGCCCTGGTCGCAGAACGTCAGCAGTACAGATGGCTTCTTCTGCACATGTGTAGTTGTGAGCTCCAACAATGTTCATTGGCTGCTTGGCATCTTGCTTTATTTGAATCCATAGGGAGTTATTGTTTTGAATGTCACTTGTTGCTCTGGTCGCCAGGACTGCAAATATTCTGCCGCGCCATGTGGGGGGGCCCCCCGTCTCCACCCCCTGCCCCGCTGTCCTCGATGGGATTAGATTCGGGGGTTTCCTTTCTTGTACTCCAATCTTGTCGAGTTGTTTCCATCGATCCTCTCGCATCCGATTTCATCGCTGCATTGGAAAATATATATGTTGATTTAATTTACCAATTCTCGACTGAGGCTGGTCCCAAAGCATTGCTCTGAGAACGGGACCCACCGCGAGTGCCATGCTCACCAGCCTGCGCGCCCCCTGTCCTCGCGGTGCCTGCTTCCAACCCAGCAAGAGGCCCCTCACCCACCTCAAATGTCGACAGAGCTGCGTCGCCCCGCTCTGCGCAGCCCCAGGTCGCCCCGGCCCGGCTAACACCGCCCGCACCCTGGTGGACCTGACCTCCCACGGCACCTTGGCCACCCTGCTCCCGGACGGCACCCCCCTGGGCACCGCCACGAGCTACGTTCTGGACGGCACGGGACAGCCCATCCTGCGCCTGAGGGCCCACGCCGTGCACACCGACAACCTCCGGGCCAACCCTGCCACCAGCCTCTTCGTGCACCCCGCCAACCCCCCCGCCCGCGCCCTGGCCCGACTCACCCTCCTGGGCCACGCCGAGGCCGTGCCCGAGAATCTGCTCCCCGCCGTGGCCGAGGTGCACGCCACCCTGGCGGCGGGCGGGCAGGGCGTGGACGCACCCAGCCCCTCCGACGTCTACATGCGCCTTCATGTCACCTCCTGCTTCCTGGTGGACCAGCTGGGAGGGGGGTCCGCCGCGCAGCGCCTCACCAGGGAGGAGTACCTGGGCGGGGTGCCAGACGCCCTGCGTGGCCCTGCCGCCGGCCTGGTGACCTACATGAATGCCTCCAGGACCGAGGACCTGCTCAACCTCGGGTGAGGGCTGGAGTCGGGCAGGCCTGGAGCTGTTCGGCCAGACTGAGTAGCAGGCTGCCCCAATGGAGTTTTTGATGCAATGGGCAGGACCATTCCACGCGATTCATAATTGTGAAGGTTCATGCATCAGCATTCCAAATCCCCCAATCTCTCGATCGCTGCAGGGCTGATGCGATGGGCTGCAGCCCCGATGATCTTGCCACGGTGGAGCTCGTCTGGCTGGACAGCCTGGGGTTCTACATTCGGACCGTACCCCTGCTGCCCCCCAACGAGCCTCAGACCCTGCGCCTCACCTTCCTGAGGCCTGTGTCGGATGAGAGGGAGGCCAGGTCGGCGCTGACGATGATGGCACAGGTGAGAATGGGGTGGTGTGGTGTGGTGCTGGTGTGGATTGACGAGGAGGCAGTGGTGCAGGACCTGCAGACTTGGAACTCAAGTGCATCTTTAGTGGGGGCTTGCAGAGTGATTCACTGAGGCACACTGTGCTCACTCTTGACAAGTGCATCCTATGTGTCTCCCGCAGGAGTCGTGGGAGAGGAGGCGGCCATACAACCCCGTCATGGTTACCACCTGAAAGCTCCAATCTCAAACAAAATCCACCATGGGGCATGCCAAGTCCTTGGCTGTAGCATGCCTTGCATCCAGGGCCAGTCCACCCAGCCCTGTCATGCGCCTGAGAATGAGGCGCAAAACCGCTGCGGGAAATGTACCGTCTCTGCATCTCCAGGGCGGCATGTTGGGTTCCCACTGACGGGCAGGACCCCAGCGTATCTTGTAATCGAGCTGGACACAGAACGAGAGCCAAGCAAAGCAGGGAGGTATACAAGTATCAGTTCATGGCGCTGCAGCAGTGCATTGGGCGGCGTCCAAGGCTCAAGCAACTAGCGTGATGCAGGGTGCAAACGGTGTTTACTCTGGGTGCCAGGCATGACCATTTCATTCCAAGTTCCCATCAGGCCTGGGCTGCATCCTCCTTCTTGAGGTCGCCAAGCTGGGAGATGAGGTCGGGCAGCTGCCAAGCAGCTGCCACATCGTGCTCCCCACTGCTCAGTCTCCTTAGGGCGGTGAGGTGTGCCACCGTGCCCATGTGTGCCGCCAGATCGGCGGCCAGGCTCCTGACGTAGGTTCCCTTGCTGCAGCTCACGACAAAGTCCACGCCCTGCGGGTCTTCGGCAGACCTCTGCAGTCTCAGGCTGTGCACTGCAACGAGGTTGTACAGGGAGGTGTCAGAGTGAACGGGCGGCGATGGCCACAGACAGCTCGCCCCTTGCGTCACCAGATGAATCGGCTATACTACGCCTGTTGATGAAGGTGGGTGTCAGAATCTATCCAAGGCCATGGTCCACCCTCGAACCGCCATTCCCACCTGTGATGCGCCTGGACTTTCTCTCCACCTCCAGCCCCTTGCGAGCAGAGTCATACAGCCGCTGCCCGTCGACGGAGATGGCAGAGTACATGGGCGGTATCTGCTCCTGCTCCCCCAGGAAAGCCTCGGCTGCCGCCTCCAGACTGGCCTCTGCGCAAGGAGAGGGGATGCTGCGCCTGAGGCATGGACATGGCTGAGGTGGCAAGCCTGCTGCCCCCCCCCCCAAAAAATAGCACCCACACCTGTGACGTGCTGCCAGGGCTTTGTCTCGTGCACAGGGGTCTCGGCATCCAGGCTGGGGGTGCCCTCACCCAGCCTCATCGTACCGCTGTACCGCTTGCTCGCGGCCATCAGGCTCTCCACCAGCTTTGTGGCCCGGCCAACACACACAACCAGCAGCCCTGTGGCCATGGGATCCAGGGTGCCAGCATGCCCCACCTTTTTGGAGAAAGGATGAAGGTTAGGGAGTGGTGATGGTGCTGTGTAGGTGCTGAATAGGTATCAAGGGAGGTGCTTGCCCGTACAATTCACTGCCAGTGCTGCAAGGGGCCTGCTCTCAGCACCTTGATGGTCCGTGCCTTCTTGTCCAGTGTTCTGGACAGGGCGAAGCGGAGCTTGGCGCACACATCAAAAGACGTCCATCCTTGAGGCTTGTCGATCAGCACGACAGCACTTTCCCAGGCAGCAATCCCCGGTGGCAGAGAGGGGGGGGGGATGGATGTGTGGGGAGGTAGCTGACGAGGCTGCGATGCTGGGACGCTGTTTTGAGCTAGGGAGGAACTCATGGCATGTAGCCGAAGCTTGCTCCGTGCCATAGGGATTGGCTGAGAGGCGGAGGCTTCCAGGGAGATCCCATGATGGTGGAAACAAGGTCCAGGTGCGGCCAGAGATGTCAACCCCAATGAGCCTCGCAGGGAGCCTGTGGAGCTTGAATGTAAGCATCACATTCTAAACTATGTATTGTGAAGATTGATTCAGCGGGTTAATGGTCCGCGTGGCCCACCTGCATGGACGGCATGATGGAGTCGAAGGCTGGGCCTGGCCAGCATGCAGGCCACAGCCGAGGACCCAGGCACACCCAGGAACTCGATGTTACGCAGCAATCAGATACTCGAAATCTAAATATGCTTGTATTCGTATCTCTGTCACTTGTGTTTGCAGCTCCAGCTGCGGATAGCTTGGCTTAGACACCTAGTGACGTGGCATTGAGGCCACAACCTCCTTCGGATACGAACATCGCATGTTGTATATACACACAGGAGGGTCGGCCACTCTGTAATCTATGTTCACGATACACTCAGACCTCCCTTTCGACTGATCTGCCAATTGTACCGTCCCTGCCTCAGTTGCTGGCTGTCTGGAAATTTTCCAGTGGCATACCCCAGGGGCCGGGGCTCCCGACCTCGACGAATCAGGATGGGCATTGCGCATGTAGAGTGAGCCCACCTCCATGCAGACATCGATTATGTGACAGCCGTGTCTCGCGTTGGGATGAGCGCACCAGCGTTGAGTCCTCACGACATTCGCCAGCATCACAGACAAGCCCAGGTACCTATATTGCTGGCTTCTGTGGCTGGGTACACCTACTCCCGACCACCTCAGTCATGTCATTTCCCGTCATCTGCTGCAGAGAGCCGTCAGACTTGCGTTGAATGATGTCAACAGATATATGGACACATGGAAGGTGCGACGCATGTATACTGCTAGGGAATGTGCCAACGAGCTTGCTTGATGTGGCACCTGTATGGTTCTCTATCTGCAGCAATCCAAGGTTACTTCCAGCCTTGCTTGCAGGCTGCAATCAGCAGAGGGAGGGCATGTGCCCTGGCACTGAGCAATGCGCTCCTCACAGAAAGGTGAGTGTGCTGGCCTATGTCGGTGAGTATCATTGCAAGGCATGTGCTTGCCAACGTCCCCCCGCAAACGTGCCAATACATGCACCAAGCAAATCCTCCTGTCGTCCATGCCGCCACAGACATCTGGCGGTGCTGCCCCTAGGGGAGTTGTACAGGGAGATGCCGGACTTGAGGGCAGCAGCAACTGGTAAGCTCGTCGCCCGACAGGCGCAACAGTTGGAAGGCCTCTCCGCAGCCACCCAGGAGCTTGCCGATCTGGCGGAAAGCTTCAGGTAAGACGTGTTTGTTGAGCTGTAAAGACTCGGTACAAGCTGGAAAGCTGCTTCGCAAGGAGCTCTTTTTTCAACAGGATGGTTCATCAGCTGTCCAGGGGGGTACCCCTACATGACCTCCCTTCTCACATGCTCGCTCGATACAACACTGCAGGACCTGCACGACGCCTGTGCGTGAGCTCGTGGAGTGGCAGCAGGCGTTCCCCCGTCTTGCACTGGCACCTGTGTTCAAGACCAGTTCCCTGACCGAACTATGTAAGGGGATTCCTGGTTGACGGTTGTTTGGTGTTGGTTCTAGTTGTGACAGCGTACGGGTAGCGACAGGCTGTGAGATGTCAGACTTTGAACATTTCAAACAACCCGAAACCCATGCCCGGTGCCCTTCATTCGCAGGTGGACTGCTGGAGAAGGCCTGCACTGCTCACCTCGTGGAGCTGCCCATCAAGCAGGGCATCCTGCGTGAGTTTGAAGCGCTGGCGGGGCAGTTGGGTCAGGAGGACGTGTTGACAACAAGCCTGCCACCCTTGGCAGCAGATGCAGCAAAAGCTTTGAGCACGGCAGCCCTGGAGGCTCGGGGCCAGTGCCTGGTGGCTGCCTGGATGATGTCGCTCATGGCCGACGAGGACGCTCTGGCAGCCGACCTGGCCGCCGTCACCGCTGACATGGCGGGGTGCTGAGCGGGGCATGCATTATGTTGCCCGTATCACACACCGCACCCTCCATTCCCCCATCTTGCTGACCCGCTTGACGTGCCTGGGAGAGTGTGAAACACGGGCATGATACATGCTCGCACGCCCAAGCACCAGTTCACTCCGCTCCTCCGTCAGGCCCCGGCCCCCGGCATGAGACCGTCCAGGGTCTGCACGCCCGGCGCCGCCTCCACGCTGTGCACGCTGCGCCCCTCCTCGCCCCACAGCGCCTCCAGGTCGTAGGCGCGCCGCGCGCCCTCCAGCATGAGGTGCACGATCACCCGCCCGCCGTCCACCAGCAGCCACTCGGCGCCGTGGCCGCCCTCCACCCGGCACCCCGGCGGCGCACACCCCGCCCCCCGCGCCCCCCCTCTCCAGCCAGTCCACCACGGCCTCGGCCTGGCCCCGCAGCTGGGCGGGGGATCGGCCAGTGGCCACCACCATGGCGTCGGCCACGGCGCAGCGCCCCGCCACGTCCAGCACCACCACGTTCGAGGCGTGGGCGGCGGCCAGCGCGGCGGCCAGCGCCAGGGGGTCCGGCCTGAAGGACGGCAGGTGGGCGGTGGAGGGCCTGGGCCGGTGCGGGACCTTGGCGGCCACGCCGAAGCGCCTGCAAAGGGCAGGGACCAGAGGCACTGAGGCGGGGGCCATGGTGAGGACAGTGGCAGGGCGGGGCGGGCGATCGCCCGGCAGGGTTGTCCCTGGGAGAGGCCCGCTCATCCAACCCCCTCCCCGACCACGCACCCCGCGGGGGTGCTGGCGAGGGGTGCCGAGGGCATGGCCTCGGGTGGAGTCTGGGCCAGCCCGCCGCTCTCCTGCTGGAGCATGTGCACGAGGCGCTGCGTCAGCACGTCCTTGGTCCCCGCCGGGTCCCCGCCCACGGCATCCAGGCTGGCGCGGAGGTCGGCCACGCGGAGGCGGCCGATGGTGCCCAGCGACAGGGTGTCCTTGCATGGGAGGCCACGATCAGCCAGCACCGCCGCAAGGTGGGCATGCAGGGGCCGCTCCGATCCTTGGCTGGATGGGGGGAGGATGAGGACGTGGGAGCAGTGGAGTACAAACCGTGTGATGTGCGGCAACAGGGAGTAATGGGAATGCGTACTTTCCCTTGCAGGCCGCGCTCCCGGTACCCAGGTCCTTACCTAGAGTATGCGCTCGCCCGTACGATCGCATCGTGTAGCGCAGGGTTCAGGCGTGCGACGCTTCGAAGGTCGGTGGGCAGGTGCACGACATTCAAGTCCCGCTCGCCCTGGACCTCCTCCACGATCCCCGCGCTGGAGAATGCAGCATTGATCCTTAGAGATTCAAAAAGTCTGTTTGGATGTGTTGTACCGACCGAAGCGCTAGAACGCAGGCCCAAAGCGCAGGCCTGCGCCACCAGGCGTCTGAGCATGAGCGTGCCCAGCCTGGAGCAAGTCGCTGTCGCTCAGGAAACTCTTTATCTATATGCAATCAAGAATGTCATTTACATTGGATAAATGCTGGAAAGGTCATGCACTGGTCTCACAAAGTCACCATTCCGACTCGGCGTTCAACATTGCGTCGGAATCGGCAGGGCGCGCAAAAATGCTGGGCTTAGCAGGATCTCTGAGGTTGGTCGTCCAAAAGCATTCGTGCATGACGGCACAGCATTGAGACCAGATGTACTGCCATGGGAGCGTCCAGGAGTAAGCTCGCCTACGCTCCAGAGGACACAGAGGTCGAGCAGATCACCACCGTCTTCGCCCCGACATCTTGCGCGACACCTGCCACCGACCCACTCCTGTCCCAGCTCCAGAGCTTGGAGCATGTGAGCGCGGGATGCGGTGGTTAAGATCGAGATCAATCAACCTTCCAAGGATCGCCGATGTCTCCCCCCCTAGTTTCCCATGAGCATCCGAATTGTTCCCCACTACCTCAACCTTCACTCTCCCGCAGTCCCTGCCCATCATCCCCTCCAGCCTCAAGGTCGACTGGCGGGAGATCCAGCGGTACACCATCCAGCCCGTGGCTGATGGGCTGGGCAGCGTGCACGCACTCATCGAAACCTACCTGAAGGTGGTTGCTTGCTTGGATGGGGGCACGACGTTGTGTCATGCACAAAATCATCCGTCTCCCTGACAGCGATTTTCTACTGCACCGAATCGCCTGACCTTTATGCCATGCGCCTGCCCATGCCCACCCCCTTGATTGCAGAGAACCCCGTCGGCCAACCTCGCCGAGGACGAGGTGAGGAGTGCCCTTTGCTTACTATGCTATCACATAGACTGGACGGATGTGGGGGGGGTAATAACATGGCCCCTAACCTCGCCACATGGTCTCGGACCCAACCACCAAAAACTCCCCCCCACTCACCCCAGGAAGCCACGCGCGCGGCGATCCTGGCCGAGCTGCGCGCCTTTGTGCACGAGATGCGCGCCCCCGGCCCCGACACCGATGCGCTACTGGAGAAGCTGGAGGGTGCGGTGCGTGGCCTGTACGCCAGCGTGCACAGCGTGCAGCGCATGGAGCCCCCTGTCGTGGCCGACAGTGGCGTGCGGGTCGCCTGACTGGGAGTGTTCGTGGGGTTTCCGCCCCTGTTTCGCACATCCTAGGCCCCAACTCCGTCGTGCGCCACCAGCCTTGCGACAATACTCGCGCTTACACACACATGGTGGATGGCAGGGCATGCGGGTGGGGATGCCTCGCACGTCTCCTGGGCGCGGCCAAGACAAGGGAGGAGCGCGCGCACCATCATCAGACCGGGAGGGTGGGGTGGGGTGCCCATGGTGCCAGGAACGCTGAGGGGCCGCCCCATGCTTCGGCGCCCGCCTCCGCCCCTCCAACCCCCCATCCCCCCGGGCACGCCTGCCCTACGCGTCCTGCACCACGGCGTGCACGGCCTCGGCCAGGTCGCTGTCGGACGCGCGCACCGCCAGCTTCATGGCGACGTTGCGCTGGCGGTCCAGGCCCAGGGCCAGGCGCACGGCCAGCAGGCCGCCGTCGGGCAGCGCCCCCGCCAGGAGCAGCGCGTGGCTGCGCGCGCCCGGGGGCACGGCGTCGGAGCCGTCGACGGGCGCGAAGCCGTTGAAGAGCTCGCCTAGCGCGCGCGCGGCGTCGGCCAGCGACTCGCGCGCGCCCAGCGCGTAGTCGTCTACGCGCTCGCTGTCCTCCGGCAGCGAGTCCCAGAGCGCGCGGAAGCCGGCGGGCGCGGGCGCGCCGGCCACGAAGCAGCCCAGGCCCAGCTCCAGGTCCTCCAGGCTGTACTCGTCCTCGTACCCCTCCTCCTCCGGCTCCCCCAGCCCCGGGTCGATCTCCTTGACCACGAAGCGCAGGGTGCAGCCCAGGCGCGTGGCGGGCAGCGCCGCGCCGGGCGGCCGGCGCAGCACCGCGTAAGCGGTGCCCGGCACGTCGTGCGGCGCGGAGGCCAGGGGCAGGCTGGCCTCCAGCTGCCAACCCTCCTCCAGGCCCAGGTCCACGCTCACACCCTCCAGCACCTGCTCCGCCACGGTGTTGACCACGGTGAAGGCCAGCACCACGCGGTCGGCCAGCACGTGGGCCACCGCATCCACCTTGTACTCCGTCTCCTCCTCCGTCAGCTGGCGCACGGTGGGGTGGTGGGCAGTGAAGCGGGGGTTCAGGAGAGGGGGGTGGGGTGAGGGGGTGGTAACGCATGCTCAGGCATTGTGAGACAATGAGTGCCACCAGCCCAGCGCGTGGTGGGCAGGGACCGGCGCAGCTTCCCCACTGCAAGACTCGCTCTCGGCCCCGACCTGCCCCGCTCATGACCCCCCCCGCCTCCTTCCAACCTCCTGGCCCCCCCAGAATAATAGAAAACAAAGAAAAAAACACTTGCACACCTGAATGGGAGCGGAGGTCTTGAACACCGGCCCCAGCGCGGCCAGCTGCGGCACGGAGGCCAGGGCGGGGGCAGGGGCGCGGGCCTGCGCCGCGGCAGCCCCGCCCGCGGTGGCGGCGGCCAGGCCCTGCGCCTTGGCGCGCGGCGCGCGCGGCGCCGGCGCCGCGGCGCGGACGCTGCCCAGGTCGAAGGCGGCCTCCGTGGCGCCCGCGGCCAGGTACTCGCGCAGCGCGGCCTCCAGCGCGCGCGGCTCCGGCATCGGCGGCGGCGTGGCGGGGGGCGCCGGGGGCGGGGACTCCGCGCCCCGGGGCCCGCGGCCCTCGCCGGCGTCCTTGGCGCCCGGCGACGCACCACCCTCGTCCCCGGCCTCCCCCAGCAGCCCCTCCAGGCGCGCCAGGTAGAGCGTGGCGCGGTCGCGGACCTCGTCGTCGGCGTCGTGCAGCGCGCGGCGCATCAGCACCGCGACGCGGCGGCGCAGCTCGGGGCGCGCGACGCCAAAGGCGCACAGCGCGGCCAGCGCCGCGCCGCGCACCGTCGCGTTCTCCAGCGCCACGCGGTTGTAGATGACGCGGACGAAGCGCGCGGGGTCGGGGGCGGTGGGCCCCTCCCGCCCCAGCAGGTGCAGGATCTGGACCGAGAGCGAGGTGAACTCGCAGTCCTCGATGAACTCGGCCAGCTGGGCCAGGCCCGCCTCGCGCGCCTCCGGGATCTCCGCCACCAGGCGCGTCAGCGCGGCGGCCACCGCGCGCTTGAACGCGTGCCCGCCGTCCTCGCGAAGCGCTGCGGCCAGGAAAGCCATCAGCCCGCGGTGCTTGGCCGGGAACTTGAGGCAGAGCGCGGTGATGGCCTCCACCACCACCACCTTGAACTCGTCCCCGATCTCGCCCATGAACCCGCCAATCTGCTTCAGCAGGCGGTCGATGGAGGACTCGTTGCTGGTCTTGAGCAGCGTGGTGATGGCCAGCGTGGCCACCGAGCGGTTGGGGTCGGAGATGAGGCCCTCCATGTCGATGTTGCAGTTGGTCACCGCCAGCGGGTGGGCCATGGCCACGCGGTTCAGCGTGCGCACCGCCGCGAAGCGCAGCACCGGCTTGGCCGAGGACAGGAAGAGCTGCAGCACGGTGACCGCGGGGGTGAGCTCGCGCGCGGTCACGTCCCGCAGCGCGCAGATGGCGCGCGCCGCCTCAAAGATCACCACCTCCGACTTGTGCCGCAGGCACGACTCCAGGTAGTCGAAGAAGGGGCGCGGCGCGCCGCCCGCTCCTGGAGAGCTGTCCACCACCACCTGCGCTACGTAACGCACCAGCAGGCACTGCGCCATGGGCGAGCGCGACACGCCGTTGCCCCCCCGCGTCAGCTGCGTCACCAGCTTGTTCACCGCCAGCCTGTCTGCGGCGCGCAGCGCGTGCGTCAGCGCCACCGCATGGTAGGTCACCTGTGTGTGTGTTTTGTGTGTGTGGTGGGGGGGGGGGGTGGATGGTGGTGGGAGTTTGAGGGAGGAGAAGGGGATGTAGTAAGTACTCGGGGGGGTGCGTCTCGGGTTGTGAGGTGGACAACGAGAAACACCCTCTGAGGGCAGAGCCATTGATGACAACAAAGGCGACCAAATGGGACTGTTGCCCTGTGGTGGCATCCCTTCTACTCCCCCCACACACACATCACTCACCATGGGCTGGCGCGAGGCCATGGCCTCCCCGATCTCGCTGGTCCAGCGCTTGATGACGTCGGCGCCGGAGCGGGACAGCAGGGTGGCCCCCGCCAGCACGGCCGTGGCCACAACCGCCGACTTGTCCACCACCGCCTGCTTCAGGTAGCGCTCGATCTGGAGGAGCATGGTGGGGTCGATGATGCGGCACAGCACGCGGATGGCGTTGGCGCGATACAGCTCGTTGCTGGAGTTCATGTCCTTCATCAAGGAGGAGGTGATGATGATGACCTCGTCGCTGGCGGGGATGACCTCCTTGATCACCAGGTACACCATGCGCCGCAGGTGCACGTCCTTGTGCTGGAACAGCTTGGTCACTGCGAAGAAGACGTCAGACGCCTCCGTCTGGGAGGGAGGGGGTGAGGAAGGCAGGGGAGGAGGTTGCGGGTGGGGGGTAGACAGTGGGAGGCTGTGTGCGCACATACAGTGATAGGTGGGCGGCAGATTCAGGCAGCAGGGAGTGAGGTCCAGGACAAACGTGACCAGAGGTGAAGCAGCCCTGCTCCGTAACGCCACGCTGCGCTCTGGCCGGGCTGCAGGCGCCTGATCCACCCTCCTTGCACCCAGGGCGAGTATATCTAGGCCCCCCCAACCCCTCCAGGCCAGGGTGTCCGGCACAGGCCCCAGCACCCGTACCTTGGTCAGGCTCTCGCCCTGCGTGAGCAGATACAGCAGCTTGGTGATGACCTGCTGACACCTTCGCGGATCTGCGTGCGCCTCGTTGAACACGCGGGCCTCCTGGAGCACGGCCCCCTTCTCGATCCCGTAGAAGGGGGAGTACTCCACTGCGGGGAGCGCGGGGGGCGAGATCCATCAGGCACAGCCATCGGAGCACAAGCAGGCGGAGCCGATATCGCGTGCGCACTCACATTCGTCATCCCGATCCTCGTCCTTCTTCCCATCGCCCGAGCGGAGGGGCTCCATGTGGTTTTGGGCTGTCGCAGCCATCCTGCCGAGTCCTCGAGCCCCCTGATCCTAGGACATCGGCGGTTACGAGTCTAACGATGGCCAGGCGGGGAGCACTGACCGACCAGGGAAACAGTGCCGGGGACTCCAGCACCTAGCAGTTATGGTTTGTGAAACCCCGGGGGGTGGCGGGAAAATCGCAGATCACGACACCACTTGATGGGGACTGTAAGTCTGCATGTGCGAGCATTGGTTAGGTACAGAGCCTTCCAACCTACATGTTTGCATATGAAGCTGATGTAGCATGGCGAGCACCTCCTGTGGTGGATTGCAGGATAGTGGATCCAATATCTCCCTGAGAGTACCCACCTGGTCGGGGCACGCATCGCTGTGAATGCTGGCAGCGCGAGCATGTCATCGCTGGGCAGGAGGGCAGCACTTGAAATTTTGGCGATCTAGCCTCCGATCCGCCAGGCACCTGAGCCATGGTCGCAAGTGGCAGCACCAGGGGAGAGGGACTGTGCTAAATTCTGCTGCATCGCAGTCTCGCAAATCCGTAGTCTTCTTCGGCACACCCCAGGTCCTCAGGGACTGATGTTCTCACATAGAAAATATGGAGTTTAACATTGTGCTCTGGTCATTTCCCCACTCAAAGCGTCAAGTGTGCTCCCCCTTCCACCAGGTGGCAGTCCCTGTGCTGGATGGGCTCATCCAGGCGGCGTCCAATATCTCCCTGAAAGTACCCACCTGGTCGGGGCACGCATCGCTGTGAATGCTGGCAGCGCGAGCATGCCAACGCTGGGCAGGAGGGCAGCACTTGAAATTTTGGCGATCTAGCCTCCGAACCGCCAGGCACCTGAGCCATGGTCGCAAGTGGCAGCACCAGGGGAGAGGGACTGTGCTAAATTCTGCTGCATCGCAGTCTCGCAAATCCGTAGTCTTCTTCGGCACACCCCAGGTCCTCAGGGACTGATGTTCTCACATAGAAAATATGGAGTTGAACATTGTGCTCTGGTCATTTCCCCACTCAAAGCGTCAAGTGTGCTCCCCCTTCCACCAGGTGGCAGTCCCTGTGCTGGATGGGCTCATCCAGGCAGCCTCACAGCCAGACAGCACGTTCGATGTCACCGGCGTGGTGAGCCAGCCCGCCAGGCCCTCTGGGCGCGGGTCCCGGCGCAATCCACCTCCCAGCCCCGTGGCCCAGGCTGCGGCGAGGGCCGGCATCCCGCAGGATCGCATCCTCACCCCCGAGCGGGCGGGGGAGGCGGGGTTCCTGGACGCCCTCCGATCCTTGCACCCGGACCTCCTCGTCACTGCGGCCTATGGAAACTATCTCCCCACCAGGCTGCTCGGCATACCCCGGCAAGGCACCCTGAACATCCACCCCTCCCTCTTGCCAGCCTACCGAGGGGCGGCGCCGGTCCAGCGTGCATTGATGGTGAGCAGGGCGGTCAAGCTGGGAGCCCTTGCTTTGCGTTACGGGGCGGCACACTTTGTCCTGCCACGTTTGCCTCTTTGGCAGGACTGCCTCGAGCCGCTGCCCTTAGCTCATCCTGACATCCTTGCGTGCACTCCGCCAAACCCACAGGATGGGCTCACCCAGACGGGCGTGAGCGTTCTCTACTCGGTCAGGGAAATGGATGCCGGGCCTGTCCTTGCACAAGCTGCCTATGAGGTGCGCTGATCGGCTTGCGTGCTTGGGAGCAGGGTAGTGGTAGAAGTTGGAGCGCAGTACAGAATGCCAATACTTGGCGCGGGGGGACCTGGTGGAGGGCGGCCGCCCCTCGGTGTCGCTGTATGCCGGCCTGTCCCCTTCTCCCCAGTCTCCTCCCCTGATCGAAACCAAACACCCACACACTCCAGATCCCCGAGGATGTCCAGGCTCCGGAGCTGACTCAGCGCCTCTTTGAGCTGGGCACGCGGCTGCTCCTCGATGCATTGCCCGACGTGTGGGCAGGCATGGGTCCCTCCCTGGCGCTCCCCCAGGACGCGGCGACGGCCACGGCGGCGCCCAAGCTGTCCAGCGCGGATGCCGCGCTGGACCTCGGGCTCCCCGCCGCGGCGGTGCACGCCCGTGTGCGGGCCTGCGCTGGGTGGCCGGGGTCCAGCGTCGCTTTCCTGGTCAGGGACCCGGCGGGGCGGGAGAGCGCGCTGACCCTCAAGGTCCTCCGCACCCGCCTGGCCGAGAGCAGCGGCCCTGGCACCGAGGTCCAGAATACCTCCCAGGAGCCCAACCAGGTGGAGCTCGCCCCGGGGGCGCTGACGGTGCGCTGCGGCGACGGCGGCCGACTGTCGATCCTGGAGCTCCAGGTGCCGGGCAGGCGGCCCGTCTCCCCCGCCGCATTCATCAACGGCCTCCGGGGGGCGACCCTGTCCTGGGTACCCATCCGGTGAGGAAGTCTGGAGTGTTCCTGAGGGCCCAGTATCGGCTCGACTTGAGTTGCTCAGGAATGTTTGAGGGCCGCATGTCAAACTTGGCGCTTCCTCTTGCTGCATGGACTGCCGGGCTGTGAGAATTGGCGGATCACAACAGTGACGCCTCTCTGCTGTGCGCTCACTGGCTCCTTTCGTCATGGTTTGTCGGTGGAACAGAGGATGCTACCAAGCACTTCACAAAAAAATTCTGCAGCCAGGACATGGTATCAAGCGCTCGTCGCAGCGCTTTGCGGGGCGTAGGTTGTGAGCAAAAAATCCCGCTGCCATGCCCCAGCAAGGGAGGGATTGCGTGCTCTGTGCCTGCTGTCGCAGCCCAGCTCCTCCACGTCGCCGACCTTTCTCACCGCTCTGTCTGCCACGCTCCTTCACTCAGCCGCACCTCACTCCTCGTCGTCCTCGCTGTCGGTCAGCTCGTCAAAGGCGTGCACTGCCTCGTACTCGGCGCGGTACGCGTCCTTTGTCCTCAGGAACAACCAGGCGGCCATGCCCGTGGAGGCCAGCCCCAGCACGGCCAGGGCCAGCCAGGTGGTGGCGAAGCAGCGCCGACCCAGGCACGTGGTCCCATGCTGGCCCGTGGCTCGCATGGCGGCGGCGTACAGCGCGCCCGCCAGGCGCGTGGCCAGCAGGTAGCTGCCGGCGGCGGGGGCCAGTTGGAAGGCGCAGTAGTTGGAGGCAAAGTGCTTCATGCCAAACAGCTCTGACACGAGGGTGGACATGAGGGTCCAGGTGCCGCCAAAGGTGAAGCCGGCCAGGGGGGCGAGGAGGGGCAGGGTGGCACGGGGGGAGGCGGCGAAGCCGAGGCAGACCAGCACGGTGGCGGCGGAGAAGGCGACGAGGTAGATGGGGCGGGGGGTGCCGCGCGCGTGCAGCGCGCGCTCCGAGTGCCAGCCTGTGAACACGCGGCCCGCGAAGTTGGCGACGGAGAAGAGGGAGAGCAGGGGGGCGTGGCCGTTGGGCGGACCGTGCAACGACTGCACCAGCTGCGCGGCGTTGTTGACGAACACCAGGCCCACGCCCATGCCGAAGAAGCAGGGCCAGAAGAGGAGCCAGAAGTTGGGGTGCAGCAGCATGCGCACGGGGGGGAGCTCCGTCGCACGCGGGGCGGGGGTGGGCGGCGGCGCCCGGTCGGCGCCCGCCGCGCCGCCGCCGCCGCCGGGCTTGATGGGGTGGGAGAGCAGCGGGCGCGTGGGGCCGCCGCCGGGGGAGGCGGGCAGGGCGGCGACGCGCGCCTCCTCGGCCGCGCGGGCCGCGGCGGCGGCGTGGTGCGGCTCCCACGGCTTGGAGAAGAAGCCGCCGGAGCGGATGGGCAGGGCCAGGAGGGGGAGGAGCAGCAGGCACAGTCCGCCCACAAACACGCTGTGCACGGCGGGGGAGACGTGGGAGGCGGCCAGCGCGGTGGCCGCCAGGTAGACGGCCACCGTGCCCAGCACGCACAGCGTGAAGGCAAAGCGTCGCTCTGTTTTGCGATTGGAAGTGGTGGTGGGCGGTGATGGCGAGACATTGGGGCGGGAGGTGAAGGGATGAGTGGCATGGGCACTGGAGGGCGAGAGGACAGGTTTGGATGGGGTAAGGGGCACTGCCCCGGACACATGCAGCGCTCCAGGTACTTGCCCGCTCACCCGAGAGCTCAAGTCAGCATGTGCACACCCATTGCTCCCACCCTCCGCACAGGTACCAACTCCTGGACCCGCCCCCGCACACACCGGTGGTGAAGGTGCGCCGCCCGCGTCGTTTCAGCTCGCTGTGCTGGATGAAGGGCACGTGGCCCACGAACAGCGTGCCCACCAGGTCGATGACTGCGGGCGCGACGGCCATGAACAGGAGGAAGGGCTTGGCGTGCGGCGCAAACACGCCGAGGTAGATGGCGGTGAAGACGGAGGCGGAGAGGCCCTCGCAGGACTTGATGATGCCCACCACCGTGCCGCGGTGCTGCGGCAGGTTGCGCACGTTGGTCACCAGCACCACCGTGTCGGTCCAGGTGTTGCCGGAGCAGGCAATTGCGGCCAGGGCGCAGACCTGCCAGTACGGCGGCGAGATGCGCCTGGTTTCGATGGGCGGGGTGGGGGGGACGGAGGGGGGTGGGGGTGATGTGTGCACGTGAGGGCAGAGAGACCAGGCGTCTGATCAAAGGATGGAAGATGCAGAGTCTCGAGGATATGGGCGTGTCATGGCATAGGGCCCGCTACAGCACCCGTTCACGACATCCACTCCCCGTGCTGACCAGAGAAATAGGCCCCCTACAAATCCCAAAAGCAACCCCCTTGTTCCCATGCATTCATGCATGCATGGGTGCACGGAAGACCGAACATGGATTCAGCATGGCAACAGGCGCACACACTGATACGGAACACGATGATGTCGAGATCTCGACGCATCACCCCCACCATATGCCAGATGATGCAGTGCATACGTCACATTCCCATCCACCCGCCTGCCTCGGCCCCCCACTCACCCTGTGACAACCGCCCAGAGGCCCAAGTAGCCCCCCAGGTTGGTGACCATGCCCAGGAGGAGCACCAGGCGGGGGCCCAGCTGGTGCCAGTCCTGCAGCGCGTCATACAGCAGGCCGGCGAAGATGGCGGCCAGGCCCCCGATGTTGGCGGCGGCCCCCACCAGCTGCAGCTGGCCCTGGTCAAGGTGGTAGGCCGCCTTCAGATCCGCAGACCATATGGAGAAGCAGTAGACTATGCCGCTGCTCAGCCCAATGGGCAAGCTGGCGGCGAAGGTGGACCACTTGTTGACTGGGCGCATGCTGGCTTCCAGGCCGTGCCAGCCCCCGTCTGCGGCAGAAACCCGGGTCAGACCTCTTCAAGAACCCGGCATGCGAGGGTGACAATGCAGGGGATCGCACCACCGCGGGTCGGGGATTCTGCAGACTTGCACGTGCATGAGCGCGAGCAAATGCGGTGTCGTGAAAGTGGGTCACCCCCGGGACCCGCCTTCCCAGCAGGCATCTCATGAAACCGGGATGTCCTCGCGGTGGACGCCTTCCCACCAGAGAAGTCTCCGACGACGGTCCTCCACCTGTGTGAAGACGGGATTCCTCACCGAAAGCCTTCTGAGGTGCACGATACTGCTTAAGAGGTACGGACCAAGCGTGTCGTCCCCAGTTTCCCCGCCAGCCGAGCATTCGTCCGCAACCATGAATGCCATCGTGGGCCACGCTGCGAGCCCATGCACCCTGCTTCCTGGTGCGTCAGAGATATATTTTGGCTCAGTGAGTATCATTACATGCTCGACAAGCTTAAAAAGCCACCCACACCACCCGCAGAGGCGGCATGGCGACACGGCGCGGTGCGATCCCTCTCTCGCCCGGTGGGTGGGGCCAGCACTGTTGCATGGGGGGTTGGTGTGCCGCGCACGCGCTGCTGAGCCAGCATGGGAGCGACTAGAACATTTCGTCCCAATCCCATGCTATAAATGCCTTCATTCAGGCATTGCCCCTACGCCACAAGGCCACACGAGTTTTTGCTGCCAAGAATGACGAGTTGCTCGCCAAGCCTGTCCCGCGGAGGCCCAGGGAGGAGCAGGCTCAACAAAAGGCAGACGCCCCATCGGCAGCGGTACAGGCCCCCACACCACCTTCACCTGCCTCCTCACCTGCCGAGACGGAGAAGGCCACTTCCAGGTGGGTCTGGGGGTGTTTTCTGCGCCTGCTGCAGACCCTGATCCGGCAAAAGTTCATGCAGGAGATGTGCAATTTCCTCCTTTTCACAGGACGCCCGGCGTGAGCCTGGAGCATCAGCGCTCCCAAGCCAAGCTCATGCTCAAGTACTTCAGGGAGAAGCAGGCAGCCAAGATCCAGTCCAGCGGAAGGTGCGGAGCCGAGAGTTGAATGGTTTGGAATGGGCTTGGGATGTTGGGCTGGTAGACATGGGGCTTTGGAAGTCAGGACACCACCTCAGTCTATCGAAACCCTGCTCCTCGCCCCCACAGTATTTTTGGCTGGAACAAAAAGAATGAGATCCTGAATGGGCGCTGGGTCATGATGGGCATTGCTATCGGCTTGCTCACAGAATATGCCACGGGCGTGAGTCTAGTGGACCAGATCAAGCTGATGATCTCGTACCTGGGCCTGGCCGACATCTATGACTGAGTCTGCTGGGCATGGCTGTGGCATGACTGGCGCCCCATAGTGCTGCATTGCATGATTGGCAGTCCTTACATATTCCAAATGGAAGATATTCGAGGTATGATTGGTACATTCTGCTCCATGGGCAGGGCACTGGGGATGACTAGGATCATGTTTCCCCCAGTTCATGGCTCTGGACAGTCACACTCAGAATCAGAGTCACTCCACTCTCCAAACTGCTTTTGTTTGTGGAATATACAGCATTCTGCGGGGTGAAGGGGTAGGAAGGTGGATGAACCGCGAGACATTGTCAGGATTCTTGATGAATCTCGAGGCAGGAGGAGCAAGAATTTGACTGTTAATGTATCCCTCTGTTGCATGGCGCCCTTCCCCCCTCATGCCCATACTGACGTACTCTTCGATTTCCTTCTGTTCAACGTCTCATTATCCACAACGTCCTCGGCCCATTGCACGCCCTTTTTGGGCTTCTTCTTCCGACGTGGAGCCAGCCGCAGGACCAGATGTTCTGCGCCAGGGAGGGAGGACTGTTACTTGAACGGTGACACCAAGCGCACCCCCTCCAAGGCGAGCATCAGTTACTGCCACAATATACCACAGATGCTGTGGGTGTGGGCTCCTTGAGGTCAACCTGCGAGCTTCACCTTGTGCCGCTGGCTGCTCCTCCACTGGCGTGGATGTGCTGGCCTCCTCCTCGGTGGTCTGCGCTACCACGCCTTCACGCCCTGTCGGGCGTGTACTCATGCAGAAGTTCGGACGGTGGAATGTTTGAGCCTCGTTGACCCTGTGTCGTGCTACGTCTACGAGCGTGGCGCTGCTGAAGTCGGTGGACGAGGACAATGGGAGGAGATTCTCGGCGAGAATCAATTTCGGGGCAGTCACAGGTCTAATATGGGCTGCGTCAAATAAAAATGCTGCTGAAAAGGCCTGATAAGGCTTGCATGCCGTGTCCATGGGAGTACTCTCGGAAGGATGCTTCACGCCCGGGGCATCCCACACGCGCCTGGTCGAGCGCGCGCGGTCAGAGGCCTGGACGATCGACAGCGAAAGAGATCGACCCAGCCACTGGTGTTCCTCCTCTGACCCCGTAGCACGAAAAATTGCGCAGCATTGGCCGATCTAAGGACCCATTCCCAGCCGGGTTGGATGACGCCGATGTGACAGCGTGCCTGCACTCGCCCCGATCACTTCGCAGGCACGCCCCTCCCCCCTGCCATGCCCTCCACCTGACGCCCGTCACGACAATGGCCGACACGGCAGTCTCCTCCAGCCCCAGGGAGCTGGCTCAGGCCCCCTCTGAGGACCCCCTGGACCGGCCCGACTTCGACGTCACCGCCTATATAAACCGCCTGTTTCCCACGGAGGAGTCCCTGTCCGGGCTGGACCCCCTGGTGGCCTCCCTCCAGCATCGCATCTCCCGCGTGGACGCCGGCATCCTGGCCAGCGTGCGCCAGCAGAGCCGCGTGGGGGGGCGCGCGCGCGCCGATCTGGCCGCCGCCCGCGCCGACGTGGCGGCCCTCTGCGCCCGCGTCGCTGCCATTCGCTCCCAGGCCGCGGCCAGCGAGGCCCTGGTGCAGCACATCTGCCGCGACATCCGGCGCCTGGACGCCGCCAAACGCCACCTCACCGCCACCATCTCCTCCCTGCGCCGCCTGGGCATGCTCATGGCCGCGCTGGATGCGCTGCAGGCCGCCGTCGAGCGCGGCGACTATGCCGAGGCGGGGAACCTGCTGGAGGCGGTGCAGGCGCTGGCCGCGCATTTTGCCGCCTACGCCCACGTGCCCCGCGTCGCGGAGCTGCGCGGGCGGCTGGGCGCGCTGGAGACCAGCGCGCGTGGCCGCGCACTGCGCGAGTTTGAGGCGCTGGGCGAGGCGCTGCCCCCCCCCCGCCACCCTGGAGCGACTGCGCGCCTGCTGCGGCCTGGTCGCCGCCCTGGGCTACCAGGTGCGTTGTTTTGTGGGGGGAGGTGGGGTGCCTGTTTGGCACTGGCTGGTGGGGAGGGCCAAGCCCCTCGGTACGACGCAAAGGGCTGGCATCTTCAGCTGCGCTGGCCAAGCTTGCGGCTGGTGCCGGCACTCGGCGGGGACCTGGCCATGCCGGTGGTGGCGATGCATGAAGCCCCAGGGGTGGCTGCATGACGGCATCCAGGCTCCGGATTGCAGAATATGGTCAGGGCTAGCTGCCTTTCATCACCTCACACCCTACCTAGAAAGGCATACGATACTGACTGCTTGGGCATCTTCCCACCTCCCACACACTCTCATCCCCAAAATGATCCCATGCAGGTCCGGGACGAGCTGATCGACGCGGTGTGCCGGCGCGAGACCGGGGTGTACACCCAGATCTTCGGCATCACGGGCGAGACCGCGCGCCTGGAGCGCACCGTCAACCGCTACAAGTGGCTGCTCAAGCGCCTGGATGCGAGGCGCGAGGTGTGGGCCGTCTTCCCCCCGGCCTGGCATGTCACGCAGCTGCTCTGCGTCATGTTCTGCAACATTACCAAGACCGCGCTGGCCGAGATCCTGGACCTCAAGGTAAGGAAGTGCAGAAGGTGGGGGGGTGGGGGGGTGAGGGAGGGGTGGTGTCACCAAGAGGACAGGGCTTTGGGTCTGGGGAGTTTTGACTGCTGAGCGAGGAGAGAATGGCTCGAAGTGGTAGATGCTGGATGACACGGATTGCGCGAACGAGTGTGGCACCTGAGACGGTGGGCGCCACCAGCATGCCCCTTCCGTGGCCCACCTTTCCCCTCTCCCTGTCAACCCACCTCCATGGGCAAAGCAGTCTGGGGAGCTGGAGAGCCAGGTGGACGCCCTGGTGAAGGCGGTGGAGGCGACCAACATCTTCGAGGCAGAGATGGCGCGGCGATTCGAGCCGCCCACGCCCGCCGGAGGCGGCGGCGCCGAGCGCGCGCCCAGCCCCGGCCCGCGCGCGCGCTCCGAGGACGACGGCATGCGCGACGACGCGGCGCCCGCGCGCGAGGTGCGCGAGCGCTACGAGCGGGCGGCGCTGGAGCGACGCGCGGCGGCGGAGCGTGGCGCGTCCCCCGACCGCGTGGCGGCGCGCGAGGACGCGGCGAGCGCGGCGGTGGCGCGCACGCGCTTCCGCGGCGCCATCTCCCCCGTCTTCGCGCCCTACCTGGGCGCCTACGTGGCGGCGGTGGAGCGCGATCTGGCCTGGGGCCTGGACCGCATGCTGGCGGGGGAGAGCTGGGAGGCGCTGGCCCCGGGCACGCCCCTCCTCCGCTCCGCCGACGAGCTGGTGGAGGCTGTTCGCGGCGAGCTGCGCGACTGCTGCGCGCGCGTCGGCCGCGGCGCCGTCCTCCGCGACCTGGCCCGCGCCTTTGCCCGCACCTACTCCGCCTACGCCGCGCGCCTCTTGGCCCGCGTGCCCAGGGTGGCGGGCGGCGGCGGCGGCGGCGGCTCTACCATCGCCGTGGCGCGCCCCGGACCCCCGCCCACCGCCGTGGACGGCCAGGCGCCGGGCGAGGCGGCGCGCCTGGCGCTGATCCTGGCCACCGCCGAGCGGTGCGGGGAGATGGTGGCGCAGCTGGCGCGCGCGGTGGCCAACCGCCTGGAACCCCCGGACCTTGCCGCGGGCCTGGAGGCGGAGCTGGAGGCAGGCCCGGGCGCCGACTTCGCCGCGCTGGTGGCCGCCTGCCACGCGGCGCTGGTGGCAGGTGTGGAGGCGCGGCTGGATGCGGCGCTGGCCGCTGCCGCGCGCCTGGACTGGGCCGCCATGGACGGCGCGGGGGACCAGAGCGAGTACGTGGGCACGGCGCGCGGCGCGCTGCTCGAGGCCGGCGCCGCGCTGGGGCCGGTGCTGCCGCCCAACCACCTCCGCTTCTTCCCGGACAAGCTGCTGGCCGCATTCGCGCAGCGCCTGGCCGACAACGTCTTCCGCGCGCGACGCTACTCGGAGATGGGCAGCCAGCAGGCGCGCCTGGACGTGGAGGTCATCAAGCACGCTTTTGTCGACATGGCGCGGGAAGGCGCGCTTTTCTGTTGCTTTTTTATGTGTGTGGTGGTGGTGGTGGGGGGGGTGTCTGGAAATTGTTCTTGAAGGTTATTGCAGGGAGCCTTGAAAGCGTGAGAATGTCTGGGAGGTGGGGGAGGGGAGGGATTTGTGGTCACGGCAGCTGCATGAGCGTGGAATGACGCTGCAAAGCGAGACCTGCGCGGGCGCTCGGTTCATGGTGCAGGGCCAGCCAGGCAGTGCGAAGCAATGGGCTCCTTGAGAGGAAAATGTGAAAATCACCTTGCCGTCGCAACACACTACCCCCTACCTCCCACTGCAACAACAGGAGGGATGGAAAGCGCGGCGCTGGCCGCCTATGCCCAGGCGGTGGGCGTGGAGCTGGGCAGGGCGCAGTCCGTGCTCAAGGTGGTGGGCGCGCCGCGCGAGGCCCTGGTGGACACCTTCTTCGAGCTCATGCCCGAGGCCTTGCCCTCAGAGTTTCAGCGCATCGTGGACCTCAAGGTTTGCTTGCAAGGAGGGGTATGCATTGGAGGGTGGGAGGATGGAGGTGGGGTCAGAGGGACGTGAGGGCGATGGGAAGCGCTGCCGACGCAGCGTCTGCGGTGCCATGCCTCGAGCCTCTGCACGGCGGGATGCGTGCATGTCGCTGCCGCCATCCCTCCGCGCTGCGCACACACCCCATCCAACCTCCTCCATCTCACCGCAGGGTCTGCGCCGCACCGAGCTGCAGTCGGTGCTGGAGGAGTTCAACCGGCGGCTGGGCCGGGCGCATTTCCCAGCGCCGACGGAGGAGGCCGCCGCGTCCGCCTCTGTCCCCGCCGACAACGACGGTGTCCTGGGCATCGCGCGCCGCACCATCACCTTTGGCCAGCTGGGCGCTGGCGAGCGCGGCGGGGGGGCCACCCCGGGCCGAACCGCGCAGGAGATGGCCGCACGATTCAAGTGAGTTTAAATCATGCGGGGCGAGGGAAACGGTCATGCTCTGCTTAATCCTCGTCAGGGAGGGGGGCCGTTGGATGTGCAGCAGGGTCAAGGCCCCCGCCGCATCCCCTGGATCTGTGGGTACATTTTCGAGTGCAGGTAGCCTGCCGCTGGCTTGCCAGGTTGGGGAGGGGTGAAAGACATGGTGTCCTGAGCATGACGAGGGATCCTGATTCCCCTTCAAATTCCACCCCCCACCCGCCCTGCATCTGCAGGTTGAACCCCAACGTGCAAGCAGCCAGGGCGTCGGCTGCCGCGGCGTCCGACAGCATGCGCGAGACCATGGGCAGGACGCTGGGGGCCATGAAGAGCCTGCGCTTCATGCAGCGGGAAGGGTGAGACCGGCTGCCTGTCAGCCGCCGTGCAATCCTTGGTTGTATCATCACTGCGTGCATCAGGTCAGAAAAGGACCCGCGCAAGAAGGGTTGACAATGGAAAGCCTGGTGGCCCTGTCTGCCCAATGAAGCGCTCATATCGGCGAGGTTCTCGTCACGAGGGCATCTGCCAGAACCAGGCCATCCCGGGGTTGAATGTGGGAGTCCCAAGGGAATCGCGCGGGAACTCCATGCCGCTACGTTTGAGTTGGGCAGTCGGCTACGCGCCACCCTCCCATGCCGCATGAATGCCAGACCGCACACGGCTCGGACCTCATGCCGGCCTCGATCATGTCTGTGCCGACGACCGCGAGCCCGGGGTTTGGGACGCTGGGCACTCCAGGGGGTCTCAGTCCACCTGTCATGGAAGGTGCTGGTCCTGGAAACGAGCAGGCCACAGGAGCCACCGCTCCTCACCGGGAGAGCAGCCCAGGCAGGTCCCAATGCCATTACAACATGCTAATGACAGTTCCAGCCCCATGCCGAGGCATTCTCACTTTCGACGCCTTGCTCCCGTACAGGCGGGGCGGGTCCCCAGAAGGCCTTCATGTCCGTGTGGAAACGCTTCATGAAGAGCAAGGGCCTCGATGCATCGGTGAGTATGTTTCGGCGTGCCGGGACCGGCATCGAATGCACATCCATGCCCTGGTCTTTCCCGCACCGTGTGGGCTCATGCATGTCAACAACGCGGTCATGGCCGGCTCTTGTCCCCATAATCACACAGCCCGCCATGTTCAATCGAGGGGTCATGGACGTGTACAAGCTCTTCAGGCTCGTGATCGCTCACGGCGGATTCCAAAAGGTGTGCTTAGCGCTAGGGGAGTTGGCTTGAGGGCATGGCAGCCTGTCCCTGCCTGGCCGTCATGATCTTGAGCTCACCCCCTTCGTCATCACCGCCTGTATTGCAGGTCAGCGAGGGCAAGCTGTGGGCGCGCATTGGGCGAGCCTTCAACCCTCCACAGTGAGTTTGGGTGACCGAGCTAGTGCTGGGCCTGTGATCGGAACCCTGCTACAGCTCTCTCAGCCATGGCTGAGTTGCACTTCTCTTTTCCCCTTCCGCCCCTCAGGTCGATGACAGACCTGAGCTACCAAACCAAGAAGGTCTACATCAGCAAGTTGTCTGCCTTTGAGGAGGCTTACCATGCTGGGGAGGTGAGCGTCAACCTGGACGCAGAGCCGGAGCCTGATGTGCCTGACGCTGTTCCGCAGCACAGCCAGACTCACAAGGTATGTCTGCAGGCGAGCAGATGAGGGAGGGGTGCAGGCGCATGGTTTGGAAGGATGTACACCTGGGAAGGGCAGTCGATGGAGGGTCCAGTCGCACTGATCTACCAGGGAGGCCTGGCATGAAGAGCCTATCCGTCGTCGCAATCCACGAGCATGGGAAGAGTAGTCACAGAGGGAGAGACATGACATCTGCATCTCGACTGGGGCGCCCTCCTGGGTATCGGACCTATATCCTTTGCATGCTCTGGGCTGACTCTACCCATCTGCATTGTTTCCTGTTCGCTCGAGGTCACAAGCCACCCTCTTCCTCCCCCCCTGAACATTCCCCACAGCTGCCATCCCATAAACGGAAACTGGGGGAATCGTACATGACTGGGTACTCCGAGGTCCCGGCCGCCAGGCAGGAACTCATCGGCCGCACCATCAGCGTGCTGTGGCACGCTGAGGGGAGCCACCACGTGGGAACCGTGGCGCAGTACCACCCAGACCTGGTGAGCGGGTGCTGAAGGAGATTTTCGTTGATGCATGGGTGCGCCCTGGTCTCTGCCCTTGCTCTCCCGCCATGCTTTCCTCCTCACATCGTCACCTCGCGGGCGTCCCCTTTCCCTGTCGTGCAGGATCAGTACACGGTGGTGTACCATGGCGGGGAGGTGCACCAGACGGACCTCAAGGCGGTGGAGTGGGTCCTGGTGGACGGCCAGACCGCTGCCACGTCGCATCCACAGGTGGGACGGGGAGTGTGTGGTGGGGTGCGGGCCTGGTCCCTTCCACTCATGGGCGAGTCAGGTGGTGGGGTTATTTGGAGCGATGGTCGGCCAGTCGTGGCGAGAGTTCACTCCGGCCTGGAGGGGCACCTGACGGTAGATGATTCGAGACTCTGGCTGATGCTGCCGTCTCCACAGTGCCCCCCCCCCCTCCCCCCCCCCCACGCAGGACGCAACTGCAAACGGACGGGAGGATGCCAACGACGCCACCACCAAGGTCGGTGGGAAGAGGGCGTCCTGGGTGCAAGGGTCGTTGGGAGTGTCCACCTTCTTGCAGGGAAGGGCAGAAACACTGTCATCCTGAAGCGAGGCTGCCCCAATAATCCACCGCACAGCGGGTGCCCAGTGCTCAACCCCGTCGCTCCCGGCGCTTTCCTCCCTGTAGGTGTACGCAAGCAGCTCGGGCCTGCCCGGCTTCGAGATCTTCACCTCGCTGCCCGGGATCCGGCTGGAGGAGGTGTGTGTGGGGGGAGGGGAGGGGCCCACTTCTTGATAATTATTGTATGCCTCACATCAAAGCGGCGGGAGTGCACCAGGCAGACTCTGTGACGTCATGTCGGTCATGCATGACACTGCAGGTGGGCATGTGGGATCGCGGGCTGGCCGATCAGCTGTCCCCTCCCATGGCCCTCATGCTGTGCGGGCCACTGTGCAGATACCACAGCTACCAGGGCCCCACTCAACCTTTTCTCACCCTCCGACGCTCGTCCCCCTCTCCCGCACAGGTGAGCGTTCGCTGCTGGCCAGACGGTAAGCTGGTGATCCAGGGCAAGCCCTCCACGCCGGGCGTCCAGGACATCCGCGAGGACCTGCAGCTCCCCCTGCTGGCCGGCCAGCGCCTGCTGGCCCACTCCGCGCAGGCCCTTTTCACCGACACCGGGCGGCTGTACGTCAAGGTGGTGCTGGCCCCGCCCAAGACCCCCGGCGGGGAGGCGTCCCCGCTGCCGTCGGGCACGCCCGCGCAGCAGGTGCCGGCGCCCAGGGCGCCGCTGGGCCAGGCGTACTGAGTAACCCCTCTCCCCTGCATTCTAGCGTTGCATTGCTGTACATTGGAGAATGCCCTGACTTGAAATGACACCTGAACCATGCCGGTGCGTGCTGTACAAGCCAGCACAAGCCGAGCATGACGAGTAGATTTCCAGGCATGCGGTCCTCACGCCAGTCCGATGGTGGCGCCCTGTCGTGGAGGCCTGGCGAGGGGGGGACAGGAACCCGACACCTCACTGCACGTCCCAGCCCCGATCGGGCATGGCACAGATCTCGACTGCCATGACTGAGCGTGTGAGGGCTGGACCAACGCAGCCGCGCGCCATGGCGATTTGATGGGCGAGCCGTGGCGGTCCGGAACCCCAGGCGCTGCACGGCATCGCCGGGCAGAGCCCCAGAGGGACATGGGGCGCAAGCCGGGATCCAGCGCACCCAGATCTGGGGAATGGCGCCTCAGGGCCTGCAGTGCTCTGCTGTACGTCGTGGTCCTGGCCCACATCTGGCTAGCCCCCTTCACCAAGGTGGAGGAGTCCTTCAATGTCCAGGCAATGCACGACCTCTGGAACCATGGCGCCGACCTGGAAGCCTATGACCACCACCTGTTCCCTGGCGTGGTGCCCAGGACCTTTCTGGGTGGGTGGAGCGGTTGTTTACTGTTGCCAGAGAGCAGGGAGGCCCTGCCTGTCACGGCGTGCTGTTTGAATTGCTGTGCGCTCCAGCCTCAGCCACTGACCCATCGCAGGTGCCATGAGTATCGTGGCCCTGGCCAGCCCGGCCCTGACCGCACTCCGGCTCCTACAGGCGCCACTGCTGTGGCAGCTGTATGCCGTGAGGGCTTGCCTGGTGCGTTGAGAGCGGGAGGCCCGTGTGGAGCTCTAAGGGATCCGGGCCACCTTCTGGTTTGGTGCGAAGGATCATAGGATTGTATGATGAAGGCACGCCCAGTGTCCATACTCAGTCATTAGTGCTATGGGGCGTATGCTGCCCACTAGGATGCCAACTGTGGTCCCTTAAACGTCCCCGGATGCCAGGGAGCGCTGTCTGTGGCATCCCTGCATTCCATCCAGTCCGCACTGGCTGTCAGGTTTGGGCGGCTGGCAGCTCTGCTCTTCTGCCTGCTCACAACCGTGCAGTTTCACACACCATTCTACGCGTCCCGCCCCCTGCCCAACGTCTTGGCGTGTGTGCTGACCAACTGGGGCCTGGCCGCATGGCTGGGCTCTACCTCCCCAGCGCGCGTCATCGGGCTCTTTGCGGCAGCAGTGGTGGGGTTGAGGGTCCTACAAGGCCCCTATGCTGGATTCTTGTTTGTTTCAATGGTGTACATGGTCCACCATTCAGCAGAGGTGTCTATTGGCAGGATCCGACGCTCCCTCTGGGAAGGCACGATAGAGTCTCAAGCCCTCCAGAGTGCCTTTGTGTAAAATTCATGGTGCTCATCAACGCTTGCGATCCCCTCCACACCCACCCCAGGTCATCTTCAGGTCGGATGCGGCGCTGCTGGCCGCCCCCATCGGCTCGCACCTACTCCTCTCAAAGCAGGTCACGTTCCCGCGGGCAGTCTCCTTGGCCGCCGGCGCGGCACTCGCCAGCCTGGCGCTCACCGTCGCGGTGGATTCGCTGATGTGGCGCCGCCTGGTCTGGCCAGAGGGCGAAGTGTTTGCCTTCAACACCTGGCACAACAAGTGCGCCCGGTTTGGTAGGGGGGTCTGCTGCCGAGACCAGGCATGGGTGTGGACAGGAGGTCACAGGATATGGCACCAGTGCCCTGCATCTAGCTATTTGACCCCCTTAGCTTTCCTCCTCCCCTCCTCTACACTCTTACACAGGAGCTCTGAGTGGGGAACGCAGTCCTGGCACTGGTACTGCACCAGCGCCCTGCCCAGGGCCCTGCACGGCGGCTTCCCCCTGGCCGCGCTGGGCGCCACCTGGGACCGGAGGGCGCGACCCCTCCTGGCCGTGGGTCTGGCCTTTGTGGGCCTGTACTCCTTCCTGCCCCACAAGGAGGTGGGCCGGGGAAAAGGAGGCGGCGGCATCCTAGGGGCTTGCATGGCGCTGCCATGTAGCTTGGGAGGCTGCATTCTTGGCTTCCTATCCCTGGCAAGCCCAGCCCGGACCCACACTCAGCCCCTCCCCCTCCCCCTCCCCCCATGCACAGGCCCGCTTCCTCTTCCCTGCCCTGCCGCTGTTCACGGCGTGCGCCGCCGTGGCCCTGCAGCGCATTCCTGCACAATGCACGGCACGCAAAGCACGGGTGGCGCCTCGCCGCCGCGGGGACCCTGGGGACCTTCCTCGCCGGCGCAGGCGTTACGGCACTGACGACGGCCGTCAGTCGAGCCAATTATCCCGGCGGGGTGGCCATCCGGCGCCTGCACGAGCTGGGCGGCGGGTCCAAGGGCGCGGGGGCTCACCCGACGCGCGTGCACGTTGGGACGCTGGCGGCCATGACTGGCGTCTCAAGGTTCACCGAGCTGCCGGGGGGCGCTTGGATGTACTCCAAGGTAGACATGCAGGAAGGGGATCTGATGGCATGCATGGGGCACTCTGAAGGAAATGAGATGGAGGTCCAAGTGGGGGGCGGGGACATCAACTCCCAAACCATAGCACACCCAGATACCCGCCTGATGACACTCACGAACACCATCCCCAGGAGGAGGGACTGCCTCCTAAGGCGCTGGCAGGGCGAGGGTACGACTACCTCCTGACAGACCAGGCGGTGGTCGAGGGGTGCGTTGCGGTGGAAAGCGTGCTGGGCTACGATCATCTGGAGCTGGCCAGGCCGCTCCTGCTCACGAGGCTCCCCCTGCGCATTGCATTGGCAGCCAAGGTTTGGATTCAGAAATGCACGGCTCTGTGACTCTAACGACTTATCATGAGGGGTACCAATGGGTCAAGGCGCCAGCATGTGGTGTGATGTGCTGCTGCGCATGCGGCCCAAGGGACTATTAGCGTCCTAACCTCACCCCCCGCGACAGCATTCCCTCGGTGTTCGCACCTCCCATCGTCCCTCCCTTACCAAAGAACGATGTGGGCTTGACTGAGACTGACATCGGGTTGCCGCTGGGACAAGAGTGACGAGCGCGGCGGGGCTGGTGGGAGCCGCTGTCGCAAGGCGCTGGGGTAGGCCCTCCCCTTTCGGACGGGTTGCCTGTGACGCCTGGTGTCCTTGATCAGAGTGGTGGCACCCACACTGACACCCAATGGATCCCGACGCCGTCGCAGCTCCGCTCCCGAGGGAGTCACCTCCCAGAGATGACGACTCACCCGACGCTGGAGACAAGGACGGGAGGAAACGCAGACACAAGGAGAAACGATCTCACAAACACAAGAGCAAGGAGAAGAAGAGATCGAGGGAGAAGTCCCCGGCACTCCCGGAGGGACCCTCCGTAGGGGATGGGGAGGATGATGGGGAGGAGGGGGAGCTCCTTCCCCATGCAAACCCCCTTCCAAGCCCGTCTCCACTGAGGTATGTCCGTGCTATGCCTCTCGCTGCATGCGTGAGGTCTTGGGTATGCCGCAAGGTGTGCAACAGTGGTTCCCTGCACTCACCAAGCCCCATCTCCACCCCAGGTCCCCCAAGAAGCCCCGCTCGAGAGGTGTGTCACAGGACCTGCATCGCCATGCAGAAGGCCCGCGCTCCCCCCTGTACCCGCGGTCTCCACTGGGAGACAGGTGAGGTGGCTGAAAGGCGTGATGAATCCCTCGGGGATATGGCTGGAATCTCCTCAACAGGTTCATGCAGTGTGAGCTTAAGCCTGAATCGGTTAATGCAAATGGCTATTTCTCATGTGCAGGGTGCGGTCCGCCAGTCGTGGCCGCGATGAGCGACTTGAGGGGTCCAGGAGGACCCCGCCTCCCGACCTTCGTCGCGAGGGTGATAAGCGGGATGCTCACCCTGCGAGAGGCGCCAGCCGTGACCGATACTCCAGAAGGGAGGACAGCCGCGACAGGTACTCTCGCAGGGAGGACAGCCGCGACAGGTACTCTCGCAGGGAGCACAGCCGCGACAGGTACTCTCGCAGGGAGGACAGCCGCGACAGGTACTCTCGCAGGGAGGACAGCCGCGATAGGTACCCTCGGATCGACAACAGCCGCGACACCCGTCATGCCCAGTGGCTCGATAGCAGCCGCGACGGCCGCCGACGGTCCCCTTTGCCCATGAGGCGCGACAATGGCGCCAGCCGGGACTCCTGGGCCTCGTCGCGGGGTGCCAGGGCCGGCGGCGGCGCGTACAGGGAGCCAGGGCCTCGCCAACGGAGCCGGACTCCCGAGCGCAACGGCGCGCGGCCCTGGTCCCAGGGCAGCCCGCGCATGGGGGGCGACAGGCGGCGCAGCAGGAGCCCGCCGCATCGGCCAAGGGATGAGGTGGGAGCTGAGGCCGGGCTCTCGAAGGTTTTTGGGGAGGAACTGACTGGCTGGGGGGCACGACTACGTCCCCTGGGCAAGTCCAGGCAAAGCGCTGTGTATTTTGGGCTGGCATGCTCCGGAACCTCGCCCAACCTCTCCCCTTCTTCGAGTTGGGAACCACTGCCTCTAACACAAGCAGGAGCAGGAGGCGGACGCCGAGGAGGAGGCCCGTATCGCGGCCCAGCTGAGTGTGGCCATGGGCGGTGCGGGGCCCGAGGAGGACGAGGAGCAGCGCCTGATTGAAGAGCGGCGGCGGCGGAGGGCCGAGATCCTGGCGCGCCACCGGGCGCAGGGCGCGGGCGGCGCGGTGGCGGCGGAGCGTCCTCCAAACGACGCAGCGATGCGATCAGTGGAGCAGCCGGCGGCAGACGCGGCACGGCAGCCTGCGGACCGGCCTATGGCAGACGCAGCGCCGCAATCAGCTGGCGCCGAACCAGAGCGCGCCCCCGCCCCCCGGCTCGCAGCCGCGGACCCCTCTGACGACGAGGAGGCGGTGCTGGGGAGCATCATGAAGGAGGGCGACGACCTCGTCCTGTTCCGCAGCGACGAGGACGGGGATGCACGACTTGACGACAGCAAGCTGGTGAGCAGAGGCATGCGCGGTCTGCAACACTGGTGGCGGCAACAGCGGGTGGCTACGTTTCATGCAGGCTTACACGGCCCCACTCACCCTGCAGCCTCCTACCCGTAATCCTCCCCACATCCTTGTTGCAGGCCCGCCCCGCCTCCGCCTCCGGCATCGGGGAGGCCCACGACACCGAGCTGGAAAGGAGGCTCAGCGCCCACGAGGTGGCCGCCGGCGCGCAGCTGGCCGGCATGCGCGCGGGCCCCGGCAATGGCGCCCCCGCCGCGCCGCCGCCCGCCGCGCCTGCTGCGACAGATGACGGGTCTGACGTGGACGACATCTTTGCCGCCACGCCCACCGACGTGCGCCGCGCGATCGAGGTGGGCGGGCGTGCGGGTCGCGGCAGCGGGGGCGCCGGCGGCGCCTCGGCCGCGGCCGGCGGCGCGGCGCCCAAGGGCCTGGTGGACAACTTTGACGACGCAGAGGGGTACTACCAGTTCCAGGTGGGCGAGGTGATCGGCCCGGGGTACGAGGTCTTCGCCGCGCACGGCCAGGGCGTCTTCTCCTCCGTGCTGCGCGCGCGCGACGTGACCGGGCGCCAGGGCGAGGGCGGCGCGCCGCCGCCGGAGCTGGCCATCAAGGTGTGTGTGCTCTTTGGGGAGGGGGAGATTGGCAGGGGTTGTTGGTGTGAAGAGCACTGGGTTATTCACCCTTACGGGAGGTGATTGATGCTGCCCGCAACCAGCCGCTGGTGCTGGGATCTGTTTCGCTGGAGCGAGACATGGCTTCATGTTGCAGTGTTGCATGCTGAATGCCAGCAGGCTCCCTCGCCTGATGCGTCTCGGCCCTTCCTCGTGATCCATCCTACCCCTGTACCCACCAGGCCCCCCCCCCTTGACCCCCCAACCCCCCCAAACCCAGGTGATCCGCTCCAACGAGACCATGTACAAGGCGGGTCAGATGGAAAAGGTCATCCTGCGCAAGCTGGCGGAGGCAGACCCGGCGGGCAAGCGCCACTGCGTGCGCCTGCTCGGCTCCTTTGACTACCGCAGCCACCTCTGCCTCGTGTTCGAGTCTCTGGTGAGTGGTTATGCCTGTATCTGTTGCTTTGGGCTGCAGGGGGGGTGCTGCTTGACGTCCTGCCTGGAGTCGGATGGGGTGGGAGGGATGAGGGGATTCAGCTGGATGTGTGCCACCCACCCACCCTCACCCCGCACGCAATCCCCTCGCCGGCATTGTCTCATCCCCTCCTTCCTCACAATCTCACACTCATTCAGGACATGAACCTGCGGGAGCTGACCAAGCGGTACGGGCGAGGCATTGGGCTCAGCCTGGGGGCGGTCCGCCTCTATGCCCATCAGATGCTGGTGGGGCTGTACCACCTGCAGGCCTGCGGCGTGCTCCATGCCGACATCAAGCCGGACAACATCCTGTGAGATGGCAGGGCAGTTTGTATCATCTTTGCGGGAGTGTGGGCACGCGTGGCACTACTCTGTGGCTGCTGGGTCTCACATCGGTGGCAGGCTTGCAGCGTCGATGCCCTGTGGGCAGCAGGGTGAGGGCCAAGGCGCCTGAATGTCGGGGATCGGTGCCTCGTCCCCACTCCAACGACCAGCTCATTCCCTTCCTTTCCCACACCCACAACAGGGTGAACGCAAAGCGGACACAGGTCAAGCTGTGCGACTTTGGGTCGGCGATGTTCTCTGGGGACAATGAGATTACGCCCTATTTGGTCTCCCGCTTCTACCGAGCCCCTGAAGTCATCTTGGGCCTGCCTTACGGTGTGTGTGCCGGGGTGCCGCATGAGTTGATTCGAGGGGGCCGACAGGAGAACTGCCCCCAGGGGGACTCGGGTCCGATGCGCGGGATGGTGCCCCAGGGCGCAGAGCCCCGATGCCGTGTGTCGCTCCCGTTGCTTCGAGACCGCATCGTATGTGGCGTTCCCGGGCTGTTCTAGTACATGACCACGGTGGTGCCTGTGGCTGGCGGCTCAGGACTATCACACAGCTAAGAAGCCGTACCCACCTCCACCACTGGTTCCACCATTGTCACCCACAGACCACCCCATGGACATGTGGGGGGTGGGCTGCGTCATCTTCGAGCTCTTCACGGGGCGCATCCTGTTCCCCGGCAAGACCAACAACGAGATGCTGAAGCTGATGATGGACGTCAAGGGGCCCTTCCCCAAGAAGATGCTGCGCAAGGCGGAGTTTGCCTACAAGCACTTTGAGTCGGACGCCAACATGTCCTTCACGCTCATGGAGGAGGACCCCGTCACCAAGCGACCCGTGAGTCGTTGTGGATTGTGGTTGGGGCTTGGCCTGAACGACCCCAGTCCACCCCTCAGACTGCTGCAATGGTATTTGCCTTTCCAGCCCCCCTTCCTCCAATGCTGACGAACACAAATCTGGGCGCCGCGCAGACGCGGCGCCTGATCCCCAACCCGACGGTGAAGGCCGACGTGGCAGCGCTGCTGGCCGGCCAGTCCCCCGACCGCAAGAAGCTGGCGCAGCTGGTGGACCTGCTGGACCGCATGCTGGCGCTGGACCCCGACAAACGCATCGGGCCCAAAGAGGCGCTGCGGCACCCCTTCATCAAGGAGCCGCTGTCTGCCCCGCAAGCCTGACGTGACTCATCCCTCCCATGACGCTTACCCATGCAAATACATTACCGAGACAGACTGCCAGGGGGTGTCGCAGGAGTAGCGAGGGAGGGGGCCCAGGTTCGGGTGGCAGGATGCCGAAGGCAGCGCTGACCAGCCGCAAGGGGCGTGCATGTCCAAGTGAGTAGCAAAGATCCCACAACCAAGTCGGCCCGACCCAGCCGCTGCAGCATCAAAACCACTCCTATCCGAACGCGCCTTGCGTATATCTACACTCCCTGCCGTAGCTGTGGCATGCAACCCAGCCTCACCCCCCCCCCCAAAAAGGCCTGCCCCCAGTCCCCTGCCTCGCTCCAACCACCACTGCGCCTGCGATGTACTGAGTTACACAAGAGGCAGCTGCATGACGAGCGCCATGCCCTCCCCGACCTCTGACCAAGAAAGCGCCTAGAGCACGCCCTCCTTGAGAATATCGTAGGGGATGGGGGTGATGGTCTCCATGCTCACGTTCTCCAGGGTGAAGCCCTCCAGACGGGGACCCGCCGGCTGGCGCTTGGTGATGGGCTTGGGCGCCCCCGCGGCCTTGGCCTGACGCCGGGCCTCGTCGTTGGACTTGACGCGGCGCAGGAAGTCCTCCTTGCAGCGAGAGGGGGCGACGTGCTCGATGCGCACGTGGATGCGCTTCTTGATGTACCGCCCATTCACCTGCTTGTTGATCTCCACGCCCACGGCGCGCTTGGTCACATTCCAGACCACACCGGTCTTGCCGTGGTAGTACTTGTGGGGCATACCCTGTGGAGCAGGTTGGGAGGGTGGGGACGTGGGACTGCTGCCCCGAGGGGGGGGATTGCCGCACCCAGGGGCTGGGGTACGGCGAGCACCGACATGCGCACTCTCGCGCCTCGCTGGCCTCGTCTGCTCGCATACATGGGCACCCACTGTCCCCGTGACAGCTTAAAAATACTCCCGAGGATTCGCGCCTCAGCCCCCGCGCGCACCTTGTGCACGGCGCCGTTCACTTTGATGTCAACATAGTCGCCGACGTGGTAGTTGCGCAGGTAGGTGGTCAGAGGGATGAATCCCTTTGTCCTGTACCCGCGCTGGAAGGTGTGCCTGGTGCAGGCGCGGTATCCCTGGCCGCCCGGCATCGTGTATGTATCGACCTGCAGGGAGGGGGATTCCGGGGTGGGGCGGTGCTCCGCGCCAAGCTCGGGCAGGGCGGTTGGCCTCACCACACCACCAGTCTCACCTGATGAGGGCTCCAGGCAAGGAAAGAGGGTTGGCATGGCCAGGCTACGAGCGTTTCGTGGCAGGGACAGACTTGGCGGCCTTGGTGTTCGTGGTTTCTACAGTTCACAGCATTGCGCCCGTGGGTGTCTACGCATGGATCCCTGGACTCCGCGATTGAAGGTCCAATCGAGCACCACATGCACCAGTGGAGCATACATACTCGCTAGTTGAAAGCTGAAAGTCTGAACGACTGCGTCTTTGCCGACACCATGGCCGGCTGCGTCACTTTCACGTCCAGTAGACCCTCCCAGGCCCTGCGCCAGTCGCGGCAGGCATTCCGCGCGCAGGGCAGGCGATGTGCAGTCAAGGTCCAGGCCAAGGTTGACCTGCAGGGAGGCCCGCGCTTCGCGAAGGGCAAATGCTACGTTACGCGAGATGTGAGCTGAGACACGTGTTGGGGACTGGTGTGGCAGGTGGGGGGCCGAAGCTCTGTCCTTTGGCTCCTCTCAAAGCCTCTTCCTACTTGCCTACAGAACATTGACACCGACCAGATCATCCCCGCGGAGTATCTGACCCTGGTGCCGTCCAAGGTGGGGTTCCTGGCATGCTGGGGCGACATTGCCATGGCTGATTGTGTGCCCCAATGGGACTGTGCTTGTACTTTTCCCGTTCCTTGTACCTTACCCCTGACTTCTCCCCCTGCGCCCCCTGGCAGCCTGCCGAGTACGAGAAGCTGGGCAGCTACGCCATGATCGGCCTGCCAGAGCAGGAGTACCCTGAGAGGTGAGACTTTGAGTTGGGATGGGAGATGCTCTCCCTGCTGCCAGACCCTGCACACCCCTCACACCTCCTCGCTGCTGTCTGACAAGCACCCTCGACCACGCTTCTGCACAGGTACGTCCCGGTGGACAGCATGAAGACGGAGTACCCCATCATCATCGGCGGTGAGAATTTCGGGTGCGGCTCCTCCCGGGAGCACGCGCCAGTGGCTCTTGGCGCCGCCGGCGCCAAGGTCGTGCTGGCGCAGACCTTTGCGCGCATCTTCTTCCGCAACTGCGTCGCCACGGGGGAGCTGTACCCGGTGGAGACGGACCGCCGCCTGTGCGATGAGTTGGTCACGGGGCAGGAGGTGGAGGTGGACATGGAGGCCAACGTGCTCAAGGTGGTGGAAACCGGGAAGACGTACGACCTGAAGGACCTGGGCGCGGCAGGGCCCCGTCATCGACGCGGGAGGCCTCTTTAACTTTGCGCGGCAAGGTGAGGGGCTGGGTGTGTGGAGTGAGGGGCTGGGGGCATGGAGTGCAGGGCTGGGGGCGTGGGGCGTGGGGGGGGCGTCGCCGCCTCCTATGCGATACACGGACAGGCACCCTCACCTGCAAGCAATCTCTTTCCCCCATGCAGAGGGTATGATCAAGGCTGCAGTGTAGTAAAGGTGTTTTTGTGTCGAGAATGAATGTAAGGAGATGCCCCATGCCGGAGACTGTACGGAAACCACCCGGGCACACTGGGGGAGGAGATGCCCGGCTTGGCAGCATGAATCGTCCGGCGAGAACCGGGGGGTCCCCCCCCCCCCGACAGCGACCTCTCCGTCAGAGCTTGCATGCTGGAAACGAAGAGACTGCTTCGTACCTTTATGATTGTCATTGGGCGGAGGGGCTTGCGAGAAAGGCGCTGTGCAGTGGCGGAAGTTACTCGGCGGGGGCGCGCGCAGAAGCGGCCGGAGGCGATCCTACCGCCTGGGCTCCGCCATCAGAAGGCCTTACGACAAAGGTGAGGAGGTATGGCATCGTCTAGTCCATGGGCAGCTACGCCATGATCGGCCTGCCAGAGCAGGAGTACCCTGAGAGGTGAGACTTTGAGTTGGGATGGGAGATGCTCTCCCTGCTGCCAGACCCTGCACACCCCTCACACCTCCTCGCTGCTGTCTGACAAGCACCCTCGACCACGCTTCTGCACAGGTACGTCCCGGTGGACAGCATGAAGACGGAGTACCCCATCATCATCGGCGGTGAGAATTTCGGGTGCGGCTCCTCCCGGGAGCACGCGCCAGTGGCTCTTGGCGCCGCCGGCGCCAAGGTCGTGCTGGCGCAGACCTTTGCGCGCATCTTCTTCCGCAACTGCGTCGCCACGGGGGAGCTGTACCCGGTGGAGACGGACCGCCGCCTGTGCGATGAGTTGGTCACGGGGCAGGAGGTGGAGGTGGACATGGAGGCCAACGTGCTCAAGGTGGTGGAAACCGGGAAGACGTACGACCTGAAGGACCTGGGCGCGGCAGGCCCTGTCATCGACGCGGGAGGCCTCTTTAACTTTGCGCGGCAAGGTGAGGGGCTGGGTGTGTGGAGTGAGGGGCTGGGGGCATGGAGTGCAGGGCTGGGGGCGTGGGGCGTGGGGGGGGCGTCGCCGCCTCCTATGCGATACACGGACAGGCACCCTCACCTGCAAGCAATCTCTTTCCCCCTTGCAGAGGGTATGATCAAGGCTGCAGTGTAGTAAAGGTGTTTTTGTGTCGAGAATGAATGTAAGGAGATGCCCCATGCCGGAGACTGTACGGAAACCACCCGGGCACACTGGGGGAGGAGATGCCCGGCTTGGCAGCATGAATCGTCAGGCGAGAACCGGGGGGTCCCCCCCCCCCGACAGCGACCTCTCCGTCAGAGCTTGCATGCTGGAAACGAAGAGACTGCTTCGTACCTTTATGATTGTCATTGGGCGGAGGGGCTTGCGAGAAAGGCGCTGTGCAGTGGCGGAAGTTACTCGGCGGGGGCGCGCGCAGAAGCGGCCGGAGGCGATCCTACCGCCTGGGCTCCGCCATCAGAAGGCCTTACGACAAAGGTGAGGAGGTATGGCATCGTCTAGTCCATGGCATGGTCGCTCACCGCATCGCGAGTAGCTGGGTGCCCGTTCCCTTCTCGGGTCTCCCCTCCACCGAGAGCCAGAGCGTGTGCACTTCGCCCAGCAGCACCCTCCCCCCCTCCCACAGCTCGTTGGAAGCCGCTGCCAGCATGGAAATGGCGCTCCGTGGTGCTCGATCCCGGGCCCCCGTCCCCTCCCGGCAGCATCGTGGAGTTGGAGGGTGGTTGGGGTGAGCCAGCTGCGCTAGACCTGAGCGTTCCCACAGTCCTGCGGGCAGGGAAGGATGCTGCCAGGCCCACACCCCACACTTTTCTCAAGGACCTGGTCTCACAGCTTGGAGCAGATATGGAGGTGTGCTGACAGGGGTGCTCATTGGGTGTCCTGTTTGTCGGCGAAGAAGGGGTGGGCTGCGGTGCATCGCTGCTCGGTCTTCCTGGCCAGAATCGGGATCTAGGCGGCTTGTGTTCTGTTGGGACTGGCGGCTGTTCGCGTGCAAGCCACCTCTGGTAGAGCTCTTCGGTGCGCCCCTGTGCCTAGCGGTGCATCCACCACAGCACCAGTCCCAACACGGTCACCCCTCCCCCCTTCCTCCCCTCTTCACCGCTCAACCCTTCCAGGTCCAGACGGACGACCTGTCCTTTGCAGACGGCACGGCCAGCCCCGGCCCCTGCTGGACCCTGGGCCTGTGGCTGGCGTACTGGGACGCCAGGTGCTCCGCGCCGGCGGCGGCACCCGCCGCGGCGCGCCCCCGTGGCGGCCCGGCCGATGACGAGGCCGACAGCTCGTCTGTGCGCCGCCCTGGCATGCGCGACGACGCGCCGGCGCTGTCCCCTGAGCAGCGGGGCCTGGTGCTGGAGGTGCCCGCGCTATCCCTGGCGGCCACCGCGCTGGAAGGCCGCTGGCGCGCGCCCGCCCCCGCGGTCGCCCAGGACCTGACGGCGCGCGTTTGGCGGCGCGACGCCGTGCACGCGCCTGCCGCCGCGCCGGCGCTGCACCTCTCCCCCGCCGGCAGCGTCACGCTGCCGGCGCTGCCGCCCTCCGGCGCCGGGGCCTGGGTCGCGGCCCTGGCCGGCCGCCGCACGCTGTGCCTGCTGCCGCCGGGGCGGGGGCCCTGGGCCGCGTCGGTGCGCGCGCGGCGCGGCGCGCGGGAGGCGCTGGCATCGCTCGTGGCCGCGCCGGGGAGGCTGCGGGTGGATCTGGCGCCGGGGGATGCGCTGCTCGTCCCGCCAGGCTGGCTGCTGGCCAGCGCCGCGCCGGAGCGCGAGGGCGCCATCAGCCTACGGGGCAGCTTTCTCCTGGCCGCCAGCCTACACGTGCACCTGGACGCGCGGCGGCTGGAGGTAAGCAATGTGACATTCGGAGCTCATTGACTCTGGAAAGGGTGCATCGAGATGGGAGTGGCGCAGGGTGCGGACGGTGCAGGGCATGGGCGTGCGTGCGGCTGCAGGGCGCCCTGCTGGAGTGCATGCAGATTAACGCATGTGCCTGAGACCAGATCATTTGCCCCTGGAAGCCCCCGCCCCCGCCCCGTCCATTCCCAGCATCTCCCTCGCCGACCTGCGCAGGAGGCGCTGGCGGTGAGCCCGGCGCGGCAGTATCCCCTGTTCAAGCAGACCATGTGGCATGCGGCCCTTTACTGGAGTGAGGTCCTGCGTCGCACGGCGGGCGTGTCGCGGAGGAAGCGGGACGCCCTGGCTGCCCAGCTGCCAAGCCCGGGCAGGGGTGTGCGGGAGTCCGGGTCGACGGAGGCCTGGACTGCCGGCGAGCAGGTCGGTGCGCGGGAGCGACTGCCCAGCCGGCGCAAGGTGAGCATGGTTGCATTCTGTACGGGTACTGCTGCTCTGATGGGTGGTCGCAGGTGGGGGGCTGTCGGATTTGGCAACTTGGGTGCGAGGGGTCGTGCAATGGCAAGGGCTTGATGGCAGGCTCGAGGCCTGACCAGGCAGCTGCAGGAGGGGACCAAGGCGCCAAAGTGTGGTGCGGACAGATCGTTCCTCAGCATGCCAGTTCCTCGATCCTCTGATGCCTCCCATCTAGCCACAGATCGTGCTGGCAGACAGCAGCGACGATGACGGCGGCGCAGCAGGAGGGCTCGAGGGAAGCCGCGCCAGGACGGGAGGCCCTCGGGGTCTTACCGTCGGGCCACGGCATGACCAGGCACGCGATTCGAATCAAAAGTTTCCTGGTGGACGACTGAAACGCTTGCGCCGGGGCGGCGCCGTCGAGGAAGCAGTGCCCTGGGAGGGGGAAGTGACGGCGGAGCACGCCCCAAACGACAAGAAGAGCGCGCCCAAACAGCGCGCTGCCAGGCTCACAGCAGGCAAGCGCTGCGCGACCCCGGCGCGGCAATCAGCGCCTCCTGCACGCCGGGCTAACCCTCGCCGCCGCGCCGGCGACGACTTTGTGGAGAGTGACGGCGACGCTGGTGCCGGCAGCTGGGGCGAGGAGGATGCGGACTGGGGCCCGGCAGCCACCAGCAGCGAGGGCGGCGGGGGTGCCAGCACCGCGTCGTCCGAGCCTGCCAGCAGCGGAGGGGAGGGCTGGGGCGACGGTGCGCGTACCTCCACGCAGCGTGCCTCTGCTCGCCGTGCGTCGGCTCGGCGTGCTGCTGCCCACCTTGGACCGATGCGGAGGGTGGACCCGCACGCGCTGCCCTCCCGTGAGCGGCGCCTGCCTGCACGGCTCGCCGACGGCGACGTGCTAGTTCCGGGGGCTAATGCTTGACCAGGCGCCAGCGGTGCGTCTCAATTCGACGGGAGCGGTGCTGGAGGGAGCGATGCCGGAGGGAGTGATGCCGGGGGCTCGCCGTGGATGGGCAGCACCAGGGGTCCCTCCTTCAGCAACAGGAGCCAGGGAGACGAGCCAGGCGCCGGCGTCCGCCCCCCCCCCCACCAGCCTCCGTGTCCGATTGAAGCTGGCGGTGCCGGCCCCCCCCCCAGGCGCGGCGGCGCCGCCAACGACCCTGCGCCTGAAGCTGGGGGGCAGGCACCTGATCCCGCAGGTGGATGGCGCGGCGGGGTCGCCGTCCGACCCCCCCCCGGGGGACGCCCTGGAAGCCATGTATGACGAGCTCTTTGGCGCAGCGTCGGACGAGGAGGCTGGCGAAGGTGGGGCTGATGGGGTGAGGAGCACCTCCGAGGCAGTGTGCATCATGAAAGCTGAGCGGGGTGACGCCGGTGGAGTCGGTGGCGACGTCGATCGCATGGATGCCTCGGACCATGCAACTGGCGAGCACAGGCCGCCTCTGGCCCTGGAGGCCACGCAAGGCCCCGCCGCCTGCGACGGCGCGGCCGGCGACATGCGACTGATGAAGGCCGATGGCCAAGACCCCACCGACGCAGCACCGCAGCAGCCTGAAGCCCTGTTGCCAGTGCACATCCCACCAGGGATTGCAGACCCGGGCGACGGGGTGCTGAGCCCCGCCCCGCCTGAGGACGACCTGGACCCTGTCTGGCTGGACGTCCCAGCGCGGCCGAGGATGCAGCCGGCCCTGGCGGCCCTGCTTTTCTCCCTGCGCACCTGGCTGCGGCACCCCGCGGCGCTCAACGACGTCCCCCTGAGCGTCGCGGACCCAAAGGTGGGCGGGTGTGGGTGGAAAGGGAGACTGGAATGCATAGGTTGCACCGAGGAGTGGAGCCGTGCTTTGCACTCCTGCAGCCCGGCAGTGCTGCCCAAGGGAGCCCGACATCCAGCATTCGGGCTTGGGCAGACTGGGGTCTGCGTCCTCGCCAGACTGCAACCCTCCTCTTAGGGCCAAGTGCACTCATCCACACCTCCGCTGCACGGTACCCCAGGCAATCGTGGCGGCGCTGGAGGTGGGCGTGATCGCCATGGGCTGGTCCCTGACCCCACTGAAGGCGACCGAGGCGCTGGAGGCCAGCTCCGACGACGACGACGTGCTGCGTGCCCCTGGCCTGGCCGAGGCACACCAAGGCGACGTGCCTGGCAGAGATGACGACCCGGGCAGCGACTACCTCCCGGACGCCAGGGAAGAGGAGGAGGAGGAGGAGGTGGTGGTCGAGGAGTCCAACGGTGAGCGCTGTGGTCCAACGATGAAGGAGCATGTGGAGTCTCTTGTTGAGGCAGAATCTCTGAAAAGGCCGGACCTGGCTGTGCTCACGAGTGACGAGAGTGTGCACCAGCGCTTTGGAGGTCCTCGCCATGCAAACACATGCTGGCCCTGCCGAGTGTTGGTGCTCCTGGGGTGCCAAACCATCTCAAACCTGACCTCTCACCCCCCCCACCCTTGGCATTGCCAGGACCGCCCCAGCAACGGCCTGGCGCCACGCCCGGCGCCGCCCCCCGACCCAGGGTCCTCGCCATGCAAGGGCCCAGCCCCAGCGTGCGGGATACGCCCGTCCCCAAGCCGGCGGCGCGCAAGGCGGGTGCCATGTCCATCAAGGCGCGGCTGTCCAAGAAGCTGCGCCTCTGAAGATGTTCGTTCCTGACGCCCTGCAATGCAGCTTGATTCTCTTCTTTGCTGCACTAGAACCCTCCTTAACTGAGTCGCGCCAGTCCCTCCTGCAGACCGCGCCGTGACAACCATTCCTCAGACCCGCCTTGCCATGGCACCCTCCTCTCAGCTTGTATATTCTGTACCGTCAGGATCACCTGCCCTTTGGCCAACTCCCCGTCCTAGTTGGTACTTCCCACTCCTTCATGTCTGTATGCACACCAGTGATCGTACTTTTACAAATGCTTCATGGTCGGGGCTCCCTCGGCGCCGCCCAGGTGACGCTGAGGATGAGGTTGTCATACCCAAAGCCATCCAGCTTGTTGATGGCCCGTACGGCATCGTCCCGCAGCACAAAGTTGACGAATGCAAAGCCTCGCGACTCGCCTGCAGGTGTGGAAGGGGACGGAGGGTTGGAAGGAGGTCCGACAACCATCAGGCTCCGGCGGGGTGGGACCATTGGTGCGATGTGGGGAGGCACATCAACACTGTACCACCAGCCTCCTGTCGAGCATCCTTGCCCCTTTGCAGACCAGCAGTCCCATGGTGCCTCCTCCAAATAACCACATCCATACTCCCCTTTTCCTGCCGACCCCGCACTCACCCGTCTCTCGGTCCTTGGCAATGAACACCCGCTGCACCTGGCCAAACGCGCCGAACAGTTCCCGCAGGTCGTCCTCCGACACGTCTTCGCTCAGGTTGGTCACCCTCACGCTGTTCTCGTCGCGGCGTTTCTGCGGTGGGTGGCGGCGCAGGGTGAACAAGGCTGTGTCCTTCCTGCCCTCAACAGCCAACCAGGCTCGACACTCCTCAGTTGACCCTCCCGAAACAACGCACGCCCACACCCCTCCTCACCAGGCAACCACTCCCCCAGGACTCCCCAACCCACAACCAACAATGGCCACTCACGAGCGCCAGGGACTCCATGGTCTCCCCGCCGGCCAGGCGCTGCCGCATGGAGGGCGCCACCCAGCCCGTGCCAGAGGTCTTGAGGCCGGAGGGACCGTCGTCCTCGCCCGGCGGCCGTTCTGCGGGCGCCAACAGGCCCTTGGCCTCCAGCAGCTGGCGCTCCATGCGCCGCTTGTACAGCATGTCCTTGATGTTCCCCACGATGGCGGCCTTGTCGGAGCCGGCCATGGCGGTCTGGAAGTCCATCTTACCCTTGTCCTCCTGCGTCTGCTTCTGCGGCCGCACGCGCTCAAAGGGGATGTCCTCCGTGGCCTTGGCGGAGATGATGTCAGAGGCGCGCTCAGACGCGGCGTCGCCAAACTTGGTCCAGCCCTCCCGCCGCTCCACGGCCGACTGGGGGGGTGGGAGGGTAGGTGTATGGTGCGTGGGGAATGGAGGGGCAGCAAGGCAGGGGTTCATGGCCCAGCTAGGGAGGCTGGCAACGGATCAGCATCCTCAGCACCTCCACGCTGTGCTCCTCGCAGCATTCTGGCAAGCATATGTGCTCTTTACCCACTCGCTCGCAGTGCGTACCTTGTAGACCTTCTTCTCAATCTTCACCACCTTGGTGCGGGTGGTCTTCTTGATCACGTCGCCCTTGTCGTTGCGGGAGTACTCCACGCGGACGACGATGCCCTTTCCATCTGGTCCGGTGGTTGTTGTCGGTGGGAGCTCCTCCTCATCCTCCAGCAAATCTCCCCATCGGTTCTTGAGGCCCACCATACGGGAGCCGAGTATGCCCCTCAAGTGCACCTGTGGTATCCGGCACGCGAGAAAACTCAAGACTTTACCTCAGGAGGCGGGCACAAGATGGGAGAGCAGCATCCTCCTGTCCCTAGGCTTTCTGGGCTGAGCGCGCGAGGCTCGGTTCCCCATCTCCAGGGCGGCTTTTTCGTGCGTTCCCGCGCTACCACGCGCAATGCTGCACGGGAGCGAAGGCGCCTTCACCACACTTCATGGCGAAGCATGCCGAAACAGAGCACATTGATCAGCGCATGTGTTCGTGGATATAATAGATAATAGTATCACCCGATACATTGAAATTGAGTGTGCCTCGCTTACCAGCAGGCATGTCGTGAGAAGTGCGTTCCGACATTACGTGGTGGACCAGTCTCTTCTTCGCCACCATGGCGTCGAGTGGCGAGGGGCTGGAGGGACTGGGCATCACAGCCTTGGATGTGGATGAAGTCCAAGCAGCTTTGCTGAATCAGGTGTCGAGGAGTGGGAGGGGCAGGGTGTGTCGATCTCGTGTGGAGGTTGTGTCCTCACAAGAGGCGCATTCTGGGACTTTCTCGCATACCGGCCCCTAAATCCCTTCACATAGGCGCCCGGCTCCATGATGGACAACGAGGATGACTCTTTCGATCAAGAAACACTCCTCGCTCGCTACAAGGACGCTGCCAGGGAGTTGCAGGCCATACAGAGCATGGTGTCCTCCCAGGCGCCAGAGGGCCTCCAGGCTTCGCTCATGCGCCAGCGCCAGGAGGGACTGCAGGCAGCCTTGGACAGGGCTGGCCGCGAGCTGGAGGCTGCTGGCCTTCCGCGGCCTCGAGTCGGTGATGCAGGGGCGCCTACCTCGATACACCCCGAGCGAGAGGGGCTTCCGGAGACCCAGGCTGTGCCTGGGCAGGCACGATCCAGTGCAAAAGGGAAGGCTGCCGCCGAAGAGCTGGTGGAGGACGACCTCTTCTCGGAAGGGGAGGGGAAGGCCAGCTCAGGCGCCCTGGTGGAGACGGATAGAGACCGCCTCATCCGCCTGGTGTGTATATTTGATGGCG